GCTGGACACCGGCCGCTCCCCCCGCCCCCCCCCCCCCCCCCCCCCCCCTCGCGTGAGCGGGCCCCCCCCCCCCCCACCCCCTCCCCCTCCTCCTGGGCCTCCGCCCCCAGCCCTCCCGCTCTCCACGGAGGCTAACGGCGGGGACGGCGGCCTGCCGTCGCCAGGCAACAAGTCGGCGCTGCTGAATCAGATCCGGGAAGGAACTCAGCTGAAGAAGGTGGAGCAGAAGGAGCGTCCGGTGTCCAGCACCGGCCGCGACGCGCTGCTGGACCAGATCCGACAGGGAATCCAGCTCAAGCCCGTAAGCCCTCGGAACCCGCCGCCGCCCCCGGACAGCCCCGGCTGCCCTCCGCTTCTCTAACCCCCCCCCTTCTGCCCTCACAGAGAGAGGACAGCTCAGAGCCCACGCCGGCCCCCCAGACCCCCTCAGCGGGCATCGTGGGGGCGCTGATGGAGGTCATGCAGAAAAGGAGCAAAGCGATTCACTCCTCAGGTACGTTCACAGGCCACATTTTCTGCCTTTTCTCCTTAGCAACAAACAGTTGAATTAGAAAACCCTCTCCAGAGTTATAGCCCACAGCAGGCATCGGTCAGAAAAGCAAATAAACCATTATCTGGGTTTCACGTGGACTCTGAAATCCTTCCGGTCATCACACTGTCCTGTAGGAAAAATGCGGTCCTACAAATCATTGAGCTCAGGTCAAAAAAAGCCTGTTTCAGGTTGATTAAGAGATCTTTCATTGTTTTTATTTGTTTTATGCAGATGAGGATGATGACGATGACGACGATGAGGACTTTGAGGATGAGGATGAATGGGACGATTAATTTTTTTTTTCTTTTTTGTTTTCCCTCCCCCCAATGATCTTGACACTTAACATGTTTCTTGTCTTCTAAAAAGAAAGTTGATTTCAAAGTTATAAATGTAAATGTTCTATCAGTTTGCTGTACATTTTCGTTGCCTTTTGGGTTTTTGTTTTTTTTATTAATCTGTGCAATACCTCATTTAATCTGTAAATGTTTGTCATTCGCATCTTAGGTTCTTTATCTTTGTCTGTCAGCTTCATCTTTGTGTCTCGATAGAATCTCATTTTCCAGTCCTTTTTTTTCTCTCTCTCTCTCTCTTGTGAAATGTTTTTTTTCACATCTCCTGTCCCTGTTGATCGCCTCCACCTGTCATTTGGCTGTCCTCATATCTGCTCCCATCATAATTATCCCTCCATGTCACCTTCTCATGTTTCCAGTCCTCAGATTAATGTGCAATTTTAAATCTCTTGAACGTTAGAGCTGAATGTCTTTTTTTTTTTTCCCGTTTCTTTTCGGCGGGGAGGGATTTGTTTATTGTCTTTTTTGTTTTTTTGTCAATGATTGATCAGAGGGCTTAAAAGACTGCAAGACAAGTTGCCACAAACATTTTTGATTAATTGTATCATTGTTCATTAGGTGGGAAAAAATATGTAACTATTTTCATACCCTGCTGGTCTGTAGTTTATTTTTACGTATACAAATTATCCTAGTTAGCGCTCATATTTTCTAAAAACAAAGAAGAAAAGGCTCTTTTTGAATATTAGCTTCATTTGCTGTGGACTGTAAATTAGCTCCAGAGTTCTGAGTCTTGTTATATTTTTGCACACATTGAAAGAGGAGACTTGCTGCATGAATACAGGTCATTTTCAGGTCTGCGTCATTATGGAACGTACAAATGCTTTAAGTAATGAGGCCGAGTATATTCGGACATTAACGTATTACACTACATACAGCAATGAAGGTAGCCCATTCTGTTATGGCAGGCTATCTGTTTTTGTTCTGTTTGGTCACTGTCACACTACAGAGTCCTTTTGAATTTGTGCTTTTCTTTCTTTTCCTTTTTTTTCCTTTCTTATTTTTACACTAGCAAACAGAGTATTAATGAATGCCTGTTTGTTGTAATTAGGTTATTCATCATGTAAAGCTTGAGGAATAAAGACATTTTAGTTTTACACACCTGATGCTTATAATGGGTCCGTGATAAGTAACATTACAGAAACAGCAAGGCCTCAGAAGTAGTCTTCCCACTGCACACAGTATGTCACAAAAAAAGTAGAAACTGGATAAATGCAATTCCTTTAACACATATCAATATTTCATCACTAACTAACTAACAAATAGGAGTCATTTGTGTAAACCAATTTACACATGGTGATTAATTATTCCCTTTAAAGACCAAATCATGTAGAAATAGACAAACTTAAAGATGTATTTATATTTTTAAGTTGCTGTGTATTTAACAGTCTGTCACCAGACATTTCTTTTAAATGTATTATTGTGCACCAGTGATGATTGAATAATTGAAAATGCGGGTTTATGGCGAGCAAAAGATGGCCGCTGTGGTTTAAAATGTCCCAGCCGGTTGGTTCCACCACGGTTTGTGCTGAGTGGCATTTTAAGCGAATGCCTTCAGGTCACTGGGAAGGTTGCCCACTCTTTACATCTCCACCAGCTTGCATGAAATTCAGCTCAGTCTCTCTTGACCAGGGCTGTGGGCAGAGTAATAATTAGCATTTAAGCATTAATCTGTTCTGTTTGCTGTGTTACTCGTAACAGTTGAGTTCTGACCCAAACTGTCCATTTGTCACTTTAAAGGGGTGACATATAACTTAAAAAAGCAGATAACAGTAGGACCAAATGGTGAAGGAGAGTCTTATAATGTAGCATCACTCTAAAGTATGCTATCGTTAGCTGGCATATGCTAACGGTAAACGTAAGTCTGAGATAAATGCACTACACTAACGTCAGGTTATGCCAAAACCTACACAGAAACTGGCATCATTTCACTTCAGACTTGGAAACTGATGAAATATATATGCTGACTGGGTAAACCAGTTTTTTGAGAGAGGGAACGCACTCGATAACCTAAAACAGATTTATTGAGTAAAGTCGAGCGTCAGAAGTTTATGAAATGTGTTCATTCTACTTTCAGGCATTGCATGATATTGTGATAAATGACTTTGTTGGGATGACAAAACGTCTAAATAGGGAACTGTCCTTTAAAACTTAAGCTTTCAAATTTTGTGTGTGTCTGTATTTTTTTTTTTCTGGCAGCCATTTTGGCTCAGCAGCCCCGAGCTAAAGCAGGCTTTAGCGACAAATGACATAAGCAAAACGTCAGCTTATTTTCTTGTGTAGCCTACAGTTGAGTTAATGAATTATGGTCAGTTTAACTGCTTCAGACCTGACAATAGAAAAGGAAAAAAAACAAGAACACTACACGCAAAAGAAAAAGATCCAACAAAACATTGTACACATGACTTTGCAAAGTCTTTCCACATGTTTTTAATACCTTTTTTTCTTCTTTTTGTCGGTTAGCAAATTGAGGACAGTTACTCTTAAATTTTGTGTCTTTGTGAGACGAAGTGCCACCTGTTAAATGTAAGAAAAGGCTTCATTTCTTTGTCAAACATGACAAAACCCTGGGACTAAAATCTAGCCATGTTTTTGCTGATGTTAGCTTCTGTAGGTAACTTGCTTAAAAAGATGCTATGGACGCCAAGTCTTAACAGGCTGGATAAATATTGAACTCTTACACTGTACACTCCAATAAAAGGTTGATCTTCACATAAAATGGGTTTTCTGGCTTCTTCTGTCTTTTCATCTGGTCTCGGTGGAAACTCCTTTTAGTATGATGCCCTACTAAACCAAAGGTTTATGAAGAATAAATGACTGTTAGAGAGGAAACTTCACCGTCTGTGTACATTTAGACAGTTTTACCTGGTCACAGCTTTGCTGCCATTCTCATGTCCAGAAAACCAGATAAAAAACTAGTAGTGACTCAGAAATACAAACAAATTGCTCAGGGTTTTTGTAAATGAGCAACAAAAATGCTTAATCAAAGAGCAAAAGGGCAGGAGTTAGGAACTGATCTGTTAATAATGCTTTCAGAAGTCACTGCAAAAATTCCATCTGTGCAGTGACCAATTATATGTCCACTCTGTTTATTTTTAGTGGACATCCACATCAACTGGCCCTGTGTCAGCCACACTGCTTATGAAAGGGATTAGAGCAGGTATGGCACTTTCCACTGGTGTGTCCCTGCAGTGCTGCCATAGAGACGGCAAACGCAGGCCGGCCAAACCCCCCCGAGAGGCTTCGTCATTACCACGACCTGAGAAGGTTTTCGGGAGGGGGGGGGGGATTACGACAGTCCGCCGTGCAGAATTGTTGACCTTTGAGGAAACAATAAGGAAATGATTTTTCGGCTGCTGCAGCACTGAGTCCTAAAGCAGAAAGATAAAGCAAATATTTGCGAGACAAAAGAAGCACTTCACAACTGATTTGGTGAATTTGCAGGGCTTCTCTATCATAACTCGGTTTAAAAGAGGCTTTTTAAGAGGTGACAGGGTTCACATCAAGAAATTCTGATTAAGCTTTCTGATATGGTTTTGCAGATAAAAGTGTAGCATGTACACAAAAAGACAAGAATTAAATAAAACCATGTAATGATGAAAAATAATTCTACAAATTGGATTTTTTTTTTTTTTTTTTAAATGGCCTGGATGATGACTGCTGAATTTAATAGCCACAGTGATGTTGTATGGGCACAATGCCTGCTTAACATTTTCCCTTTTGCGGTCCGGAGAATGATGGTAAAATTCCTCGAGATGCTATAAAACTTGTGTGCATCCTTTTGTACTGAATTTTATGTGAGGATTATGCAGCGACCACTTGAAAGGACCCCCACCCCTCACACTTTGACAGATATGACAAAGTGCTGTGCTGTGCAGAGGAAGTTTCAGACCCCTGGCTAAAGGAATGCACTCTACATACTGAGCTGCTGTGTTTTGGAGGACAACTCAGTAGAGTGGACTCCTTCTTAGCAGGATATAAGTCATAATTCTGAACTTTTTACCCTTCCTTCCACACATCCACTAATGAAGCTTTTTGCCATTAATAAATTGCAAGTATAAAATCAATAAAACAAAAGATTAGATTGTTCTCTTTTCAGTTTTCAGCTTTGTCCAAGAAGTAAACAAGTGATCGTTTTTTGTTAGTGTTTTTTTTGTTGATGTTTTTTTGCTTTTAATGGATTTTACTTAGCATTTTCAACAGGAAATGTGTGTTCTTTCTCCACTCAAAAGTGGACCGTGTCGATCCAAATGCATTATGTCCTGCAGCTTTTAGGTACCCTGGAGTGTTTTATCTCAGAATGTTTTTATCAGCTCTGATACCACAGTGTTTATTCTCTATTTTCATGTGTTATGCATGGAGAATTGTTCAAAGTGCGCAGAAGCCCACTTTTAAAATATGCTAAGTGGAGTGGGTGTGATGTGAATGTGTCAGAGTGGGAATCTGCCACAGTGTTTTCCACAGCTTTTCCACTTTCTCTCAAATGGATCTGGTCCAGAAAAAAAAAACACACCGTACTTAGAAAAGTAGTACTGTAAACAGCAAATGGATATATTTAGAAATTAACACATTTCTCAGCCAACAACAGATCATATTTACAGAAGAAAACATTTAGAAAATGTATCAGTAAACAAAGCACTCAACTCATTCCAAGATAAGAATACAAACGCTATGTCCTACTGTGAACAAACACTTATTGAAAGAATTCAGTGTTGCCTCTTTAGAAAACACACATTTTCACCGTTCATGCTTCTGCTGCCATCCGTGTTGGTCAAACCATCGTCATCATGACGGAGACTCCATCTTTTTTATTTCTGCTCGCATTATCGTAGATGGTGTGGAACTTCCACCTGGAAAATTACAGAGACGAGTTTAACATAAATGACAATATGCAACCTTTTGTGACAGAGAAACATCACAATGCGTGTTTATTACATCCTACAGCTAGCTATAATAGCATGGTAATGAGGGTTCTGTCGAAGCCAACGGAGCTGCTCTGAACGGTTCCTATAAATACCTGCGCTGAGTGCCTGGAATTTAACAGCTACGATGGGAGACCCCTCTATCTAAGGGCAGAGCTGATTTTCCACAACATTGTAACAAGCTATGCTTATCCATCCTCTTACAGAAAAACAAAAGGAAAGCATTGAACATGATTGTCTAAATCTACAGACTCCCGTGTGCTTCGCCTCCTCCGCAGTTCTGGTTTTAGTTGAACTATTTCTCCGTCTTTGTTTTCCACGTAAGCTCGCCATCCTCTCCAGAAAAAACACGGCCCTCCACCAGCGTGCCTGACCTTATTACTGGCTATGCTCTCTGTCCCGCTTTGGCTGTAAAAGCATAGTGATCATACCACGGTGCGGAGAGGCTGATGGCACACAGCCTCTGGTCTGCCCACTGCGATCTGGACACACAACATCAGCACGGAGATGACTCACAAACCGCTGACTGTGCGTCACGCTTCTCTAAATAACACTCCCAAACTCAATCAGTTTGTCTTTTCTTTGTATTTTGTGGATCTGCTTGGGTTTCTGTGGCGGATCTTAACGCTAAAGGGGCCTAAACCGGAACCGTTTTTCCCCTGGACGCCGCTCACCCGTCTCAGGCTGCGGACGCTGCTGCCCCGGATGGACTCCATCAGCTGGTCGTGGGCTGACCTCATCGGCGTGGAGGGCCGGCTGCCGTCCTCCCCCCTCCTCTCCCCCGACACGGGCCTCAGGGCCGACTTGAGCTCCTTCAGGATGCCGCCCGTCTCCTCCCTGACCGGCTCCCTGACCGGCTCCTTCCCCTTCTTGCCCTTCTTCCCTTTGCTTCTGGAGACCTTCTTGCTGCCGGCCTCGTGGGCTCTGATGACCTCCGCGATCATCCTGGTGGGTTTCTTCTTCTCTGGCGCTGGGAGTGCTGGCGGAAGAGGGGGAGGGGGGGGAGGTGGTGGCGGCGGAGGGGGAGGAGGGGGCGGTGCAGGTGGGGTCTGTTTGCGAGTCTGGTCGTTTCTGGGAAGTTTGGGTGAGGACCAGGGAGAGCTGCAGGGCGATGAACTCGGCGTTCCTCTCTGCGGGAAAACACGGACAGAACCATCACTGGGAAGATGGAAGGAAACTCAACACAGTATGGTCAAATGAGACCGGTTAAAAGCACAAACCAGAGCGGAGGTCCGAGGGTTGAGGGCTCCGTCCTGCTGACCCTGCTGACCCTGCCTCTGCTCCTGCAGCCGTCTCTGCCTCTGCCGGTCCTGGTTCCGGGTCAGGATCCCCGTCATGCTCATCCTGGGACCAGGGAGGTTGAACTGGTAACCCAATTTGATCAGAGTGTGGTTTTCCCGCAGAATCTTCACCATCTCCATTTCCACCTGTGGGAGGTTTGCAGGATTGTTCGGTTACCACCACCGGCGCCGCAGAAGGTTTCCCCGATCTGGACCCAAACCGACCTGTCCTCCACAGATGTGCCTCTGGTTGTGGAAGCGAAGCTCGGTCAGGCTGCAGTTCCCCGGCAGAGCTTGAACCATCGCCATCACTCCTTTCCCCGTCACGTAGTTGGACTCTATGTTCAGACTGGTGATGGAGGAGTTCTCCTTTAACATCTTCGCAATGGCCAGAGCCACGGGGTCATCGGCCCGAGTGTTCGCAAGGCTGAAGACTCGCACACACGTGTTGGACCTCAGAGCCTCAGCAAACCGGATGAGAGTCTCCTGAAAAGTAAAGCCGAATTTTTAAACAAGCTTCTCTCTTTTCTAAACATGAAACAAAGTACTATTTGAATAGATATCACTCTAAACCCGTTAGTTTTCCTTCACAGTTGAACAGGTTCCAGCACCAACTGGAGGTCATAGCATCCCAAAAAGCTCAAAGCTCTGCAGTCAGGGTGGAGCTGCTGATGCAGTGCCTTACATAACGTCTGAGATTAGTGACCGTTAGCCTCTTTGGACAGAGTGATATAAACGCAAGCATGCCTGATGATGACAGAAATCCTCTCAAAAGCCGTTTAAGTGCAACTTTTGCTCAGTTTCCAGTCACATGAAGCGCTCGTACCAAAATGCCTGACCGTGGCCTTCATTACACAACCACGGTGAGACGTCTGCTTCTAAAAATAAGCGGGCGTACTATTTAAGACCGGCTGAAAACTTCTTACTTCTCCTATTTTATCAGACAACTTCGCAGCGGATGCTGGATTTGCTCAAATTTCACTCTTATTTGCACTTTTACCGCTGACCAACTCAGTTTTGCACCCGACTCATCCAACCTTCCTGTGAACAATCACAGCCTTAGAATGCTGACATTTAGTTGCAACCCCGAAAGTAATTACCTGTGTGCACTGACCCCAGTCGATCATATTACACTAATACTCACAGCTGCTCTGTCCATGATGGCCTGAAAGCCTTCTGATGGCACACAACCCATGGAGCCCCACATAAATAAGAAACCTCAGAGACTATTCTGCTGTGACGAGATCCTACTCTGGACAGAAGCCTCTGATATCTCTGGAGGATGACAGTGAGAACCGGGGAGTCAGGCTGGAACAAAGCAGGACGTTAGAAATGCATATTTTGGGTTATGTTGCATGGTCTCTGTGGATTGGGCCATGTCTGCCTTAAAAACCCCTCAGAGAAGCACCACAAAGATGAAGAATTTTGTAAAACCAAAATCACCGATAGCAACATTATTAGTTGGATTTTATATTCATAAAGCTTAGTCATCAATAAATTATGTGTTTCCTTCATAATTGAAGCTATTAAACAAGAGTTTGGACCAAATTTGAGCTGAAATAAAAGATGATCTTCAGGTAAAACATCAACATCTGGGGAGTCGTACCTGTGAGATGTCGTCAATGTTGTTGAGGTTGACCTCGGTGAGTTCGGGGTCATTCCGCAGCACTCGCTGCAGGGCCTCGTCCACCACCGTTGGGTTTCCAGTCGCGTTGAGGTCAGGAGGTGGAGGGGGAGGGGTCAGCCGGACAGGCTCCGCCCTCTGGGGCTTCAGCAGCGTGGCTTTATTTGCCTCCGCCACTGGCAGCAGCCCAGAAATTCTCGGGGGTTCAGTTTCTGGTGCAACGTCTTCTTCCTCCTCTTCATCGTCTTCTTCCTCCTCCTCATCGTCTTCCTCCTCTGTTACTGGCTCCTCTTCCTCCTCACTTCCTTCTACCTCCTCCTCCTCTTCACTGTTCTCCTCCTCCCTTTCCTCTTGTACAACTGACTTTTCATACGTTTTCTGCTCTTTCTCATTTTCATCATCTTTTTCCTCCTCTTCCTCACTGTCTTCTTGTGTCATGCACCCTTCTTCATCCTGTGTTTCAGTAAAATTAGTCACATCTTTAAATGACTATATATACATATATATATATGCATATGGAATGGCTGAAATGTTAGCACTGACCGGGTTGGGGCTTCCTCCTCCTATCTCGTCCTCCAGCAGTTTCCTGGTCTCATTCTCCCAGTACTTCATGAGGGCCTCTCTGCTGAAGGTGCCCGTCGGGGTCTTATCCGTCTGGTCTCTCTGTCTGAGTCCTATGGGCACGTTGGCGTCAGGGTCGATGTCAGCCAACTCCTTTTCCAACTCGGCCAGCTCCTCCGGGCTGAGGGAAGCCAGAAGCTCGTCCTCGTCAACATCTTCGTACTTGCTGAGCTCTCTGCGATACCCGAAACAGCTCATAGCCAAAGCTCGCAAAGCAAGAATACAGAAACACCGCCTGTTGATTTGGCTCTGTTTAGATCCTGAACTAAAGAAGTATCAGCCCCAAAGCTCTGACGAAACTGTGCAGTCCACCATGAGGCTGATGGAGATCCAAAGACGTAGGAGATCACCGAAAAATCCGATTCCAGATTTAGTGATCCATACCAAGAAAAGACGCTGATCCGAGTCCAGTAAGCGAGTCCTTCTACTGAATGCCCACACGAGTATGAGCTGGGTTTGTCTGCGTTATCTGAATTTATGGAGGGGGAGATGCTGTGTGTGTGCGTGTCCTCTGCTCTGTAATCTGGACAGCTGCTGTTTGGCCCTTAAGAGGGGGATCAGAGGGGAACGTACCAAAGCGCGGGCCCCATGATGCAGCGTCTTTTTTGGGAGTCACTGCCCTGAGAGGCAGAGCCACAAAAAGCCAGTGAGCTCAGAGGCTGCGTGGCCTGTCAGCGTAGCAGTCTGACACTGTGCCTCGAGTGGCTTTGTTCATGGCCGAAAAAAGACCAACTGGACAGAATCAAGACAGAAAAATAGCGATAATGCGTCACTTAAAAAATGGGACAAGCTCTGACTCCACATATACATCAACAAAGAGCTGTCTTCTATCGTCCTTTTTGTTGGATGACACGAATCAGCGTTTGTAATATAACATGAGTCATCTGGCTTTTGTTGTGCTTTGATATAACTTCCAAAGCCCCAATGAAATAATCGTCTAGAAATCAAATGATATGTCACAACACCAACTATGTACGATGAACTGCTGTTATTCTATATATCTAAGACTCATCTCATTGTGGCTTATGATCATCATTATTATTATCATTATGACATAAAAGATATACTTGGTTTTCAACTAAATGAGCCAAAGTGTGACATGTATCTGGCACAGAAGTTATGTAACGGTAAATGCTAATTAGCAGTTACATACTGATACAGAAACTTTAAACAAATTTTTTACGCGAAATTGAATGTTGACTATGGTGTCCAGTATGGGACAAAGTAAATCTGTTAGCACTGCGCTGTCGTCTCTAAACAAGTTCATAATTTCCTCTGAAACATCTGGTTGTTGTTTTGCACAAAAAGACAAGCATTGCAGAAAAAGCTTATTAGCATTTATTACAAAACAAAGAACAGTTATGAAAAACTACAGTTAATCGGTCATGTCTCAAACTCCTCATTCCTGAGAGAACAGGGATTGTGTAGGGACTACATCATTTCATCAGAGGGAAGTGAACGCCTGTGTGGGTGGTCAGGATTTGTAAAGTACCCGCTTCATTTACATGCATACATTTTTCTATGGTGCTCGTGGTACTTTTCCAAATATACTTGCCAACAGAAAGCTTACATAAATGCAAACATAGAGAGAACAAGAGCTACACGAGAAGCCTTTTTTGTATTCTTTGTCCAACCTGCTTGGATGGATGGTCAAAAATATATATATCAGTGTCTGAGTACTGGCCAGTTTGATCAGTGTTTCTCCTCATGGAGGTCACAGTTACAGGTGCATTTCACGTTGACGAAAGTTTAGCATACAGGTCATATTCTCTGTAGGTCAGGTAGTTTGTCAGGCCAGGAGGGAAAGGAACAGCAGTCATGGCTGTGGGGTCATTTAGCTTCCTGATGCTCATGTGACCTCTGATAACCAGCCGACACAAGTGCTGCAGAGAGCGCGGCGTGCCTGGAGGAGACACACAAAAACAAGCTGTCACAAAACAATCTGCCCACATCCTGCCACCGTTTGTTCCATTTGCAGTTTTTACTCAGTATGGCAGAAATGTCCTCCCAATCTGGAGTCCTCCTCAGGATGCCTTTGAGGTTTGAACAAATGCTGACATGGCTGACATAATCCAGAAGCATCCTCACAACGCTGCCCGTTAGATGTGTCAGCCATGACACGGACACAAACTCACAGAACTGGAGGAACAGAAAAGGGTTACTGTGATCGCCTGAGGCAGATAAAAAATGTGTCTGCCTGTGGTTTCTCGTACCGGGATGACTTTAGGCTGACTGTAGATCCGGTAGGCTTGGTTATGGAGGTCAGTCCAGGTGCTGTCTAGTTCATCACTGTTGTCGTGGTTGCACTGAAAACACCTGATAGAGATGTTAATTTAGAAATTAACCAAGTCATGATATCTACTTTGAATTCCTAAACCAAAATTATTAAAACCACTTTGCTTTGCCTCTGTTTATTTTATTTTTTTTGTAGAACAAAAAAAGCTGTTTTCATTGTGGAGTAGTTTACGTGCTTTTGGGCTCGATATCCGCTGTTGAGGAGCAGTCGTAGCATGACTTGGTCTCTGAGGCAGTACTGGAGGGCCGTAGGGAACACTGTGTTGTTGATGACTCGAAAATAACAGTTCACCTCGGCTCCATAGGATAACAGCAGCTGCACCAGCTCATATCTAAACAGAAGGGTCCGTGATTACTCCGGCACCACCCCTCTGCGAGCTCAATACGACATACGTGATGAATCGTGAAGTTGCCGCTCACCTCTCAGCACGCACGGCCACCAGGATGCACCTTAGAGGGTCCAAATCCGTTCTTGCTCCAGCTGCCAGCAATATCTCCGAACAGGTCACGTCCCCATTAGAAACGGCAAAGTACAGCGGAGTCTTTCTGAGGTCCCCGTAGTTCTCTGGCAAATTAATAACAGGTCTGTTGGCGAATTTCATGATGATGAAATATGAAAAGTATTGTCTTTGGACATAGATGTACCCCTCTCCCCAAAAGTAAAAACAACGCCTCAGGTGTAAGTTTGACATCAGCATGTTTACCGTAGAAGCAATCGTATGGTAACTGGTATCTTTCTCTCTTTTTTTTGGAATGGAATTCCACATGCAGGCCCTTTTTATCATTATTATTACCGTGATCATAATTATTGTCATCGTCATAGAAAAAAATCCACAGGTGCCACCTACGCCTTGAAACTTTTCCAGCAGCTGACCAGGAATTGTGAAACATTTCTTGCACGATCGGCTTGCAAAACTCTTTGCAAAACAGTGGTGCAACATAGTGGTAAACATGAGCCCAGTTCCCTACCAGAGATATGTGTATCAAGCTGAGCGTTGACATCATGAGCACTCTGGATGAGCAGATTCAGACACTCCGCCTGTCCCCCGTCAGCTGCAGAGTGCACCGGGCTCTGGCCTGAAAGACGGATTGCTCTCTTTGTGGTGATGGGGATGAGAGTCCTCAGGGCTCTGAGGAGCCAGGGGGTTGGGAGAAAAACAGGAAGAGGGAGCAACAGAGGCAGTGAAAAACACAAAACAGAACAAGGGAAAATGCTCATTAAATTGTGGTTTGCACTACAGTGTTGTTTGGTGACCGAACCCGAAAAACACTGATAAACAAAGAGCTCTTTGTGGAGATGACTTCTGAACAAAACAGTGCAGAGATGTGGACTGGAGAAAGAGAGATGTGTATTACTCAGTTGTTTGACCAGTTTAGAAAAGAAAAAAACGGTGAAAAGAATTTTAAGTTCCCTGCAGTAATTTCTTTATTCTGGGAAACAGAGATGTTATGCCCTGAAAATATTGATTGATATAATCTAATGTCGGGATGCCTGTTAACTCACAGTATATGCCCTTCATACGCGGCTCTGTGGATAGGCAGCTGAAAGGCGTAGCTGGCAACATTTGGGCTGGCTCCGTGCTGCAGGAGCAGCTTGATGCAGTCCAGGTTTCCAGAGCCTGACGCATCATACAGGACTGTGTCACCATTGCTGGCCTGGGCATTCACATCACCACCTAGTGGAGGGCAGAGAACACACAAGGCAGTTCGGTGGAGCGTACATAAACGTGCACCAAAGAGGGACAAATACACAGCGCACAGCCACACCATTTTGTATGAGTATGTCCAGCGCTTCAGCGTGGCCATATTCAGCCGCAATGCCCAGAGGGGTCACACCATGACCATCTCTGACGGTCACTTTGGCGCCGTGTCGAAGTAACAGCATCAGAATAGATGGACAACCGACCTGGTGAAAGAGATGAGAGCAAAATGAAGGTTTTAGGAGTTAACCGTTGGAGGGGGGAACACTGTGAGTTCTGAGCAGGGCCCGGCCGTTTACCTTTGCAGCTTCGTGGACGGCTGACCACTTACTGAGACACACCTGCTCCACAAAGGCCCCGCCCATGATGAGGGACAAAACCATGTCGTATGAGCTCTGTCTCACCGCTAGAAAATGTAGAAATGGCAGATGTGAGAGTAAAAAGCCATTCTGATGATAGACACCGGTAATGTTTTCAGCTTGGTTGGCTCTCATTGCTGTCATCTAAAGGACATCCGGTCAGGAGAAAACTCATAGCAAGAAGCTTCTCAAACAAAGAGAGACATTTTAAACTTGAAATTGCCACAAAAAATAAAAAAGCAAGGTTATTTCAACAATGATAAGCGTGTACAACAAGTAACACAATTATGTACTTTTCGGTGGAACAGACCTAACTGTTATTAAACTGATACGAGGAATATTCTGTTGACCTCACAACCACAATTTAGACTGGTTAATACCAGTTAGGCCTGAATCCAGCTGGCCTGAAGCATTAATAGAGGCCATGGCCTGGTCAAGTGACCTCTGTTATGTTGATCCTGAAACTGAACCAGATCTGAATCTCGCCAAAATTCATGTAACCACACTTTGTCCGCATTCGATTTATGTACAACGGCATTTGTCAATTCTCATCCAAACTGTACCAAAACCACTCAGTTAAAATATTCATTGATCTGGCAGTTGTTACAGGGCCCAATTAATGCCAGAATGGGCCGGCGTAATGAAATCAGCCTCAGTCAGGTGGATTCAGCTGATCCTGAGTGCTCGCGCTACCAATGAGTAGAGGGGATTCGTTCCTGCTGTTGGTGTTTTGTGGTGAAGCCCCGTGCTGCAGCAGCATCTTGACGTTCTCCACCAGGACGGCCTCCGCCGCCAGAGTCAACGCCGTGTCCCCGCCGTCCGTCCTCTCCTCCAGCGTCAGGCCGCTGGATGTCATCGCTGGGACAGGAACAATTCAGAGACTCAAACTTCCATTCGCCTAAACAGCTGCGTGAGTCTGGGATCTGCTCTCTCACCCTGCAGCAGCGCGTGCAGGATGGCCGGCTGCGGCTGCTCTGCAGCTGCATGCAGAGGCAGCCGGCCCCTGCTGTCCCGCTCTGTGAGGGCAGACACACAACACGACAGCACCCGCAGCGCCTTCACATCCCCTGTGAAAGCCAGGATCCATATTAAACACATTCTTTACTTACATGAAATATCATTTTTACATGTACATGAAGGAGCCTCTGACGGGCACAGCTTAGCAAGATTGTGCTAGCATTTACCTTCATAAATGGCTGTCATAATCTTCAGAAAGTCTTCACTATTTTGCCCCTTCCTAATGAAGGAAAAAAAGGATTTACAACAGAAACATGATAATGTGCTCCATTAGATACTGTATATGGAGCCAGCTTCCTCTCATTTGCATGTGTTAGTAATGTATTTATTACCTATTTGTTTTCCCTGAACATGGCAGCTTGTAGGCATCCTGAATACTCTCTTGAATGGCAAACTCAATCATTTCTTCATTTATGCTTTCCCGTTCAAAGTGATCCATGTCTACGACAAGACAAATGGGACTGAATGACATTCCAATGTTTACATGGATTCCCTTTTAAACACTGGCCTCCTCTTGCCTGCAGATATTCTTTTTTTTAAAGAAAATATATTGGATAAAATCATGGAGGAGTTGTAAAAACACTGAAACATTTGGAGTAGTCAGATCCTCAGAGGTGGGCATGCAGCTTGTTTAGGGTCACAGAAGCACCACAGCACATGCTCAAAGTGGCATCAGATGTGAAACCTGTTATTTCCCAGACAACGCCACAGAATGAAGTTGTATTTGTTAGGATATTCATATCCACGCCTCACCTGTTGATCTCGGCGTCTGCCCTTGAGTTCTCGAGCTTCGCAGCCTGTGTGTTTTTGTTTTGCCGGGTCCTCAACTGAGGGGGTTATTTTTAGAGGTGGCCTGCTTTAGATGGCCTGACTCAGCTCAGAGTGTGCCTGTCACCTTTTCACTTCCCCAACAGCCACGCCGTGACATTCGGATCGGATCATTTCAGGATGTGTGCATAAAACACACGTGTTTGTGTAGCTACTGAATGAATAAGCTCTAAGCATCACAGGTTCAAAATTCTTACTGTTACTGGCACCGTGCTGCCAACCTCTACCTCAGTCATCATAGTAATCGGTTCTATTTTTACCTCCACATCCGCAGTGTCACCATTAGTGAACTCATCTGTGCTTTATGGTGTCACAACCTATAATGCCTGTCTTCATTTGAATATGAAGATGATATATAATGTGAATAATGAGTTCCATTAGGGATAAACAACATGAAATATGGCAAACACCTAAAAGTGGCAGCAACAGTGCCATCATGTGGCGGGAAGTGGGTTAACACCTAAGCAGGTGTAAAACTGGATCATTATTTACAACCAAGGGATTTTGTGCATGTAGCGGAAGAAACTAAAAATCAAAATTCATACACTGTCAAGCAGACAAACCTCTACACGTGTGGTCACTTTGTGGTCACCCAGTTGTCACCGTTTTTCTGAAAGCCACCATCTTCTACATTTATCTGGAAGGAAAACAAAATGACAGAGTGATGTACAGTCTGTGGTCGATGTGGTTGCTGTGCCAAAGAGCAGTGCGGGTCAGAAGTGATGACACAACAACTGACACTGAGCTTAGCCTGAACCAGCTCTGAATAACTCATTTTGTAACATGTCATGTGGTTTGCAAGGACAAAGTTCTAAAATATGGAGGAGTCTGCAAGCAGATTTAAAACTCAGAACAGACTACAAAGTCAAAATACTCTTTGCTAGAGGTTAATCTTTTAGAATACTTTCCTTTGTCTATTCCAGCAGTGTAAGTGCTTTTTTTTTAGGAGTTACACCAGTCCTTTCAGACGAAGCCACATATCATAAATCAATTCAGTAGGCAGAAAGCTGTTTTTAAAGAATCAAGGACGACTTCTGAAAACAACCCACGAGACAAAAGTTTCACATAGTTGACCTGAGCTATATATAAAAACCTTGTCATTTTGTCATTTTGAATGACATTCTTCCTTGTTCGGGGAAAATGGACTCATCACCATGCATTAAACTGTCTAATGTAAAAAAAAGTCTAAATTCCACTGCATGGCAGCATTTAGTGAAAGTGTTATGACTTGTGTGTCCTTTAGACGGTAAGAATTTGTCCTGAGCTGCCATTCTGAGCAGTTGTTGGTTTATCTCCCCTCTGGGAATAATTCTCCATATCGACTTCCCACAGGGACTTCATGAAAACCCTTCTTAGAACATGAAAAAAAAAACGGTAAACGGTAAAACGTGCACATCTTTTTAACAGTGCCACGGGTTGATCAGCAGACTATTGTGAGCAGTCACTCTCAAATGACCAATTAACCTGGCACGGATGTCTTTAGATTGAAGGAGGAAACCATAACCCCCAGAGAAAAAAACACTCAGGCTTGAGAAGAACAAACAAGACAGGAGGCAGACTGTTGGCTACTTTGCTCATAAAATGCACAGTATGGTTTTTGTAAGTCTTCATTTCCTCAATCTATGCCTTGTGACTGCTGTTGATTTGGTAATGGAAATCAATTATATATAATGGCTTTTACATGGATTCAGTTAATAAGCAAGTGACATGGGTATATTATGCAACTAATCTTCTGCATGTCCACACACTGAAAAAAAATTAAATACCAGAGGAAATGCATGTTTGATCAACAATCTAAATTAGATAAGGGAAAATAACATCTATAAACAGATTAGAAAAACCGAAAATAATTTAATAAAACACAAACCAGCATGACCAAACCTCTGTATTACCTCTCATCATCTTGTTTTCACTTTTTTACAAACCACAGTTTGGGGAAGAACCCTAACATATTCAAAGCTAAACAGTCTCTCAGGAGAACAAGCACCCACTTCTCCTGATGACCAAACCGATACGTGGGAGTTTATGGAAAAGTCTCAGACAGCGTCAGTGTGTGACATAATGACTCAGCTTGTAGGCGGCCTCTCCACCACGTCAAAAGACCCCACCAGTTTGTCTGAAGTGAGAGCAGCCTGCTGGCCCATCCTCAAGTTTCACTACACGCTTGGACATTACTCCCCTGCAAATACATACAGAGATGAGCGCTTTCTGGGAGCTAAAAACGCTGAATTTTATGAGCTGGATTTGAGAGACCTTGGACTCTTGCTCCATATGAGGAAGAAAGTAAGTGCAGCATTTCCTTTTTTTTGTCTTTTTTTCTCTTATTGTGCTTATAATTTGATTTGAAACTCGTGCATGTTCAATGGATAAAATCATCTGTTAACAAGTTATTAAATGAGCACTTCATTTCAGAAATTCCACAAAGACTCACTAATGTGGTGTGTTGTCCTTGAAACACAGAAATGAAATTTAAATTCAGAGAAAGCAAACAGATGCTGCAGTGCCACAACTGAAAATTCAGTCGCTGCTCAGGATATAAAGTATATTTCTGGGTAAAAATAAAGACAGAAGAATGATGGCTGCCTTCCTTTGGGGATGCATTTCCAGACATTTTACCATGTTGAGATGTTTACAGTAACTGGTTCACATAGTGCTTGTGATGCACTCTAAGGTGGGGGTTGTAAAAGGGAAAGGAAGAGGTATTAAAAGGGGAAATATTGATTTTTTAAAAAGATTTGTCTCAATGAAAGTACTGTGGGTCAGGGCTTCAACTAACAGCTATAATTGATTCTTAGGATTAGTTTGTGTAGTGTTTTTCTTGTTCAAAGTGTTAAATAATTGCTTTTTAAATGAAGTCTAAATACATAATTTACCAGATCTGAGGGTGATGTCTTCACTTGTTCTATTTACCCATCTAAAAGTCTAAAACCCAATCGTTTCAAATTACTGTCATATTTGATCATCAATGCATCTAAAAAATGAAAAACATCCAGCTTCTTAAGCAGTTGTCTTTATGTCTGGAAAGATAGGAATCCTTATGACCACCTCACAGAGGAAAGTAATAATGCTGTAAATTGAAATAAACTAAAACAATCCTGGTCACGTTATGTACCATACTGTTGTCATCCATTTGGTTTTATCTGTTTATCCAATTTACGGTAAAATAATGTTCAGCAAAAAAAACTGTCCTGATCATCTTAACTGTGTGTGTTACGTTGTGTATGATCTTGTGAATTATGTGTGTACATTGTAAATACACAGCAACGATTTCCTATCATGCATTTTTCATTTTATTCCTCAGATCTTGAAAGTAACTTGTTTCCTGCTGAGTCTGTTGTCAAGTTTGAGTCTCTGCTCTGAAAAGTTTGGAAAACCCATAACTGATGATGTGAGCAAGCTGTCAATATTGGTGAGACTGCCAAACCCCGGCACGCATACACACACAATCTCAGAGTTCTGTCGTGCTTGAATGTGCTATATGCTCAGTAACTGTTTCTAAAAGACCAATGCAGGGTTGTTACAGTCATTCTCTGTCATTATTCCTCCCATGTAGAAGCAGAATATTCCCTCTGATTATGAGATTCCTCTTAGTTACATTCCCAAAGAAGTGGTACGTGTGCACTGATGTGAAACATTTAAATAGCAAATTAGATTGTTTGATATCATTTTGAATAAAATATGATCTGTTTTTTGCACATGCTTTGCAGGCTGGAACCTGCTGGGTGGTGTTAAATATCTATCCTTTAGAGCAAAGTCTTCGAAAGCTGGCCAACATGTTTGGTGCCATCTCCTCCAACAAAGATAATATCATCGTCTTCATCGCAATGCTCAAGAGTTTACGTTTTACCTTTGACCACGAGGAACTGGTGGGTGTGAACACTACTCGATAGACATAATATGTTTGCGCAGAGATGAATGTTTTAAAAAGTTAAGCCATGTTATAAAGAGGGAACTGTAAGAAACACTCCCGATCAATCTTAGCCAGAGGTATGCAACATTTGGATAATAAGCGGCTGTGTTGCTCATTTAATTGCATAAGTGAGTTTTAAAATGATAGTTTGTTGGCTGAACCCCCAGGAAACAGCAATGCAGGTCTTTCAGTGTCACTACCAGGAGGAGAGCTTACTGTCTGCTCTTTACTTTGACCACATTGAAGAAGTCTTACAAACGGCTGCACAAGGAACATCAAGCTTCTCATGCAAGCCACCACCGTGCCATAATCATCAGCAAACACCAGGTACATACCCATTTGCATTTAGAAGCTTGATTTTTGTAATGGTTCAATATTGGAAGGAAATTCTAATAATAAGTATTGATTTAAGGTCTGGTGAGAACAAAGGTGAACTAAGAATGAGAATGATCAAGGGAACGGGCTTGCCTACTATCACATTTCAACTCTTGAATATTGACGCAGAAAGTAATATTTCTAATGATTTGCTTCTTGCAGAGGGTCAAGGGGAGAGCCGTGGATACAACTGGACAAGAACTCCCCTGCTTTTAGTGCTCATCCCGTTCACAGCTTGTGTTTTTCTGGTAGTTTGGCAGGTAAAACAAAATCACTGGGATTGAACCTCTAATACTGTGTGAATGAACCTTTCAGAAGATTATAAATCATATGCAATCTACATGCGTTTGAGTATAAGTGAGAAATGACTCACTTAAGAAAGGTGTTACTAAAAAGAAATACGTCTGTCACTGTTATGATTTGCGGCAGTTTTAAACAAAAAGCAAAGAAAAAAAGGGATTGAATTTGAAATGAAAATAATGTATACAGTTGTTAAACAGCTGCTATCACAACATCTTAATTCATTATTATTTGTTTTGCTTAATTTAATTGTGACGTTCCAGATGTATGAGGACACCAGTGACATCAGAAATGATGATATCCTGAACTTATCTACATGATCTTACACTTCTTAACAATTTTGGGAAAACGGATAAGATAAAAACATCGCTTTCATTAAAAGTTTGTTATTTCATTTTTCTGGCCATAGTTATTAGTTATTTACTCTGTGTTCCACTAAACCACAACGTCTGTTTTCTTTTCCAACAACATTGGCTTGTATTTTGTGGTTTTGCCTAAAAAAACTGACAGATAATGTGCTTTCAGTTTCGAGAGTGCTTCCAGGAAGGAGAGTCTTCTTAATTTAACAGGAGCTTATTAACTATTTAGTAATCCTTTGAGACTTTCATAATGTGTTGTAGCTCATTTAAAGTAATACCATTTGGAGGAATACTGCTCAGGCTATTCATTTCTAATGTATTGTTTGTCTTTTTTAGGTCAGGTCTGGAAGGCGTTTACCTATTTGCAACACTGTAAATAACCAAATGGCAACTCCTGACATGATCCCAACAGTGTCTATCTCCATTCCACTTCAAACACTCACCCACGCCGCTAACACTCAGCCAGCGGGGGAGGCGATCGCAGAACATCAAAGTGGATGAAGCGTGATTAACAAAGGAGGGAAAATTGGACAGCAAGATAACAACCCACTCTTCAGGTTGTTCTGTCACTGGCAGAGGCCTGCTGGATAAATGAGTCTGGTCTGACACTCCTCTGCTTTTACTCATCCGAGTGCGTGTGCCAGAGCTACTGGATGAAAAAAAATAAAGTGTAAGTAAAAAATACAGAGTTGCTGAAAAGCAGGTGTTTAGCAATTATCCCCAGATTCAGCACTGAGGAGAGAGCTCCTCTGAGCAGCTGATTACCCCACAAAATGGCCAGCGAAACAGATACATTATCTTGTGCTGGGTGGTGAGTAACAGCATTTGGCTGGCCTATTCAGAGAAGTTAAAATCTGTTTTGCCTATCTGATGTCATTCGCGGTGTTGTCGTGCTTGTTTAGTTTCAAGTTGCAATCAAAAATATCAGTGGAGCCTCAAATCAAAGTGAGACCATGCAGTTTGGGTAGCCATTTTTTTTTTTTTTTAATGAAACTGGCACCACCAATTTCACGGCTGTTCTTTTCAATGCTCTAGCACCACGTAACAGTCAACACGCTGAATTCTAACGTGCTCCTAAACTGAACTACTGAAATATTCAAGCACTAGAAGTAAGGCAGAACAATCTGGCTAATATTTTCTGCAGTATAACCAAAGAAAGGCCTCATGCAGCTTCTCTTGTACTTGTTGTTGACATTGTTATGATCTGTGACCTGTCACAAATTGCAGACCTGCCAGTCACAAACAGCACACTGAGAAGCTCAACAAATGTCCCACTTTATGAATCAAAGATCTGACCAGATGGCAGTTCGCCATTTAGCTCGAGGCATTTTGAATCCAGTCATTGTGTTTCAAAGCCGTTGCCCAGAGATCTATTGCTGCTCCTCCACCACAGTGAGTGTGTTAGAGTTTTAATGCCTCATTCACAGAGTCAATCACGTTCAGTCATGAGAACATGACTCCCCGAGTGTGAGCACTCTTGTGCTGTATGTGTCAGCGGCAGGGAGCAAGAGACAGGACAGACAGGACGAGGGAGAGTGAGGCAGATTAGGACAGATAGATGGATGGACGGATGAGCTCAGTGAGAAGCATAAGGAGGGCTTGTTCTCCTCACAAAAGAACAGGCCGTAGGCAGGAGGAAATGCCTGTTAAAAACACGGTCAGTGTCGACAGATCCCAATGAATCAACAAGCTGAGAATCTTTCCAGACCGCAGGCTATGTAGCCTCACTGGCAGAGGCTGGTTAGTATTTCAATAACAGTTTTCCGTATTCAAATGATTTATTTCCCAAACACGCCAATACAATATAGTTATATCCTCATTAACATATTTTCCTGCTGTAAACTAAGTCTAAAAATGACTGCTTGCCGTCCTCTTATTGTGCAAATTGTGCGTTTTGTATTTGAATTTTGTGAATATGTGCATTTGTGATATATTTAAATTATTTAGTTAAGATATAAACCTTTTACAGAACGTCATGAGTTTAAACTTACAGTTGCAATGTTGTAAGTTAAAAACCGACCAATTCATGTCATGAATGTACAGGAGGTGGGGCGGGGGGTTGATTAAATACTGTGAACATACATGAAATATGCATAAAAAAACAGAATTATTCATTTTATCTGCAGTGATTGGTCCCACCGATGTTTAAGTCAGCCCTCCTTTACGAATGTTTTTTTATTCTTACCAGTGTTTGTCTCTTCAAGTATGTGAAAAGTTTGTAAGACTGAATTCGTTGCATTTTGGGAAGATCATTTTGTCTTTTTAATGTCTTTTTATAAGTCACAGTAGTTCTCTATGGATAGTGAATCAAAATTCACAGTAAGGTAATTATTGTAATGTTTGAAGAAATGTATCTCCCCTTGTTATCTTTAGACTTCTTGAAAATATTTAAATGCAAAGAGGATGTGCTGGATCCAGTATTAGTGATCGAATGAAGATGCGACTCACTCCTCCATCGTTTCACACACTGTGTAATTGCTTAATCTGAAGATGTTTTGGTGACTTGGTATGTAAAAATGAAAATGTTTTGTCAGAAAAAAAACTGTATTGTGTTAAAAAACTAAATAAATCAAATAAAACATTTACTTTGAACCATCTTTTTTTTTACATGTATGCATGGTTTCTCTGTGTGTTACAGCATCCTGCCACTGGACAAGCACTCTAAATTGACTCTAGGATTGTGAGCATGCATGGTTGTTTGTCTTGTTTATCTCTGTGTAACCCAGTGATGGACTGGTGCCTCGTCCAAAGTACACTTGAACCCCTGAATAACATTTAGGGAGTGTTTCAGCTCATAATGTTTAAGTAGAAGTACATTTGACTGTACTGAGTTTCACACCTGGAAGACGTCCATTATGCTTAAACATTATTTTTAGGTGAATAATATTACCAATGATTAAATATAATTCAAACTAGTTCTCTTACATGTTTCCTCCAATTAAAAACAATTACAAAATGTGCTTTTATTTTGTTCAGAAACATCCGCCGGATGTAGTCAGACTTTTGTTTTGGAAAGCCGCTGCCCAGCGGCCGCCATTATTCTTCCTGGCTTGACGTCCAACTTAAGACGGTTTAATACTTTTAAACACTGTATTTTACACTATACTACTCAATTCAGAGTCTTTTTAGTGCAGTCAGTTGAGTAACTATTGACTAAGCTACGAATCTCGAGTCCAGCATGGACAGACGGTCCAGCAAAACGGGTAAGTTGCTAAGCTAACGTCGCCAAGCTAACAGTATCTGCCGCCAAGAACGATGGTCAGAAAATAAAATGCAGCGCCGTCAGTGCGCTGCACGAAGGAGGATGTTTCTCCCCAATCCCCAGCCAACGTAACTATGGCACGGATTGATTTGTTGTTTTTTGGCTATATGTAGAAGTAAGCTACCAAACTGACTTAAGCTCCATTTCAAATGAAAATGTCCATTGTCCGGATGCACAGATCAACCGTTTAACGGCAGGTTAGCGTTTAGGTAACTCCTGCACGCGGCATTGTTAGGAGCAGCATGCCTGCTGAAGTTTGAATCTAACTCTACGGGAAATTGGCGCTCAATCTCCTCAACGCAACACATGCACACTTAAACGCGCATTTGTCCAAACCCTGGGCAGCTCATCTGCGGGGCTTGTGGCTGGCGCCGCAGCGCCCCCTACAGGCGGTGACCGCCCCACCAGGAAAACCGCCCTGCTCTGTCATTTGGATACCAAACTTTAAACTCATTAATCGTGGGGAAAATTAATTTATTCTGTTGTTTTTGTCTGCCCTTGATTTAAGAAAGACGGAGTAGTAATGTAAGGCATCAGACACAAACTCCTTTAATGTGACTGTGTCCTAATTATGCAACGATTAAGCCGGGACTGCTTATAAGCTGGAATGTCTGTCTGTCTTTCAGGTGCTGGAAATGCCCTTCCCTTGGCCTCCCTTCGCCTGTTGGCTTCTCCTTTGCAGCTGACGTATTCCTACATATGGCAGGTTATACGGCAGAGAAATGTCAAGCATTACGTGAAAGTGGAAGAATTTGTGACCATGGTCATACAGACTGTTCCTGAGCTCCTGAGTTTCAAGCAGACTGCCCAGCTAATCTTGGGTTTGCGAGCTAGGGTAGGTGTGATTTCACTGGTTATGCGTACAGCAAACATTAGGGGGGAATTGGTCAAAGTGGATGTTATCCAAACTGTGCAGTTATAGAGTTCCAATTTAAAATAGATTGTGGTGTGTATTTACTTTCTTGCCTGCCTCCCACAGGATGATCAGAAAAAAAGAGCAAATAACAGAAGCTAAGGCTTAGATTAAATCTTTCCTGTTAACCACTTTGTCATGTTGTACTGTAGATTATCCTTGATCTGCTTCACAAAGACGGCCCACCAGATTCTAAGGCTATTCAGACTCTGATAAACAAGTTGAAGGTCTCCACATCTACAGGGGTATGGATGTCTCATTTTAAGTATTAACCAGAATTTCAAATGTAACGTTAACTCAATCAGACTTGTTTGCATTTTCTTTATTATAGAAGGATGCAGAAGTGGAAAAATCACAGACAAACTTCATGGTGCTGGTACAGAATCTGCTTAAAAACCCAACTGAGAGGAAACGCTTCTTCCAGGTACCCACATCTGTAGCTATGAATAACAAACCATTATGTATCATTTAATTTCTTTGTTACTATGATGGTCTTATAATCCTTTATATTTTATTCCAGTGTTCCAAATCATAGTTTTAAACCATGACATAGAAATGAGCTCCACCAAAAACAATGTTCGTGAAGATTAAAGACATTTGATATACGACTTGGTTTTTCGTTTCCCCTTTTTTCAGGAAGTGTTCCCGGTTCATTACGGCTCTAAGTTTGACACAGCACTGCAGGCCCTCACCGCAGGCCTCGTGTGCAAGCTGGAGCAACTTCTTCCTGTTCCAAATCTATCCCAGGTATGCAAACATCACGTAGAGAGAGCTCACAGGAGCAAGTGTTAGAGGATTCAGTGGCAGAATAAACTGTTGTAACAGCAATTTAAAGGCATGCATCATTTTACATTATTCCCTAGTTCTTCTGAGGAACTTGATTCAAAAGTTTAATAAGCTGTAAGAAAGACAAAATATTTTTAAGAACAGATGTAATGTGAAATGTCAAATCTAAGACCGAAAAAAAACAAAAATAAGTCTTCTGTTTATTCAAATTTACTAGCTTGGTTCCATGATCTCAACTGAGCCCACTGTCCTGGAAGCTTGTGGAGGCTTCATTCCTGACCCAGGTGACCTGAAGACTCTTCTTCTACACCAGCAGGCCAAAGGACTCATTGGCGTTAAAGGTATTCTTGTCTCATAAAGTTTCTTTACTGCGTAATCCAATGGACGTCTAAGCTTGCATGTCATTTGGCAGATGGATGACTATTTTAAGTTGTTGACTTCTAAACATTGGTAAACGCTGAGAATTATAGCCTCCCCTCTTTGTGCAGCAACTGTCTCGACTTCAGTGGGCGACTGTGTGCTCTCTTCGCTTGCCTTCCTGCCCAAACCAGTGGAGCCGCCGCCACCCCCACCACCACCCCCACCAGCTCCAGTACCGTCGCCAAAGCAACTGGAGGTCACCCAGAGCGAAAAAAGCCCAGAACCCCTAAGTGACAATGAAGACATGGTGGGGATTTCAGATGACTCTGACAGCCAAGCGGCTCTTGTCAGTCAACAAGAAGTTCCGTTAAGTCAGCAAACAGCCGATGGCTGTGCGGAAAAGGAGAAGGGTGTCACAGTAACGGCTCAGCTGATGGAGCCAGGACAGGAAACGACCTCCGCTCCGGAGCAGTCTGTCACAAGTCCTCAAAGCAAAGGGAACGATGGAGCGACGGCCACGCAGGACAGGCTGGAACCACAGCGACTGCCTTTGAAAGCCATCCCTTTCAGGGTTGTTCAGATGCCGGTCAAAAGCACCCCGGCCGCGCAGAACGCGAGCAGCGCAGGAGTGAAGGACGGCCAGAAGACCCAGCGAGTCACGCTACACCAGTGGGTGTCGCAGATCGCCTCTAACTCCATGTCTCTCCCAGCCCTGCCGCCTCTTCCTCCAGGCCGACTGAGTGGTGATGACATGAGGCCCAGCATTAGGAGGAAAAAGCAATTCAGGCACTTATCCGACAGATTCAGCTGCAGCGTGTGTGACAAGAGTTTCCCGTACCAGTCCAAGCTGATGGACCACGAGCGCATTCACACGGGGGAGAAGCCCTTCCTGTGCACGGCGTGCAATAAGAGTTTCCGAACCCAGGGGTTCCTCAACAACCACCTGAAGACGCACAGCACCGAGCGTCCCTTCGCCTGCGGCCAGTGTGGCAAGTGCTTCACCAAACTGCAGAGCCTCACCAAGCACATCCTGGCCCACAGCGGCCAGAAGCCCTTCTACTGTAACATCTGCAACAAGGGCTTCACGCAGTCCACCTACTTCAAGAGGCACATGGAGTGCCACACCAGCCAGATGACCTTTCCCTGCAAACACTGCAACAAAACCTTCCCCACGGCCTTCAAGCTGTCCAACCACGAGCGCTGGCACACCAGAGACCGTCCTCACATGTGCGAGCGCTGCGGGAAGAGATTCCTGGTCCCCAGCTTGCTGAAGAGACACATGGGATACCACATCGGAGACCGGCAGTACCTCTGCTCCCAGTGTGGGAAGACCTTCGTCTATTTGTCCGATCTGAAGAGGCACCAGCAGGACCACATACCCAAAGCAAAGATCCCATGTCCCGTCTGCCAGAAGAAGTTCTCCAGCAAGTACTGCCTACGGGTCCATCTGAGGATCCACACCAGAGAGAGACCCTACCGCTGCACTCTGTGTGACAAGAGCTTCACCCAGGTGGGGAACCTGAAGGTGCACATCAGGCTGCACACCAACGAGCGGCCCTTCAGCTGCGACGTGTGCGGCAAGACCTACAAGCTGGCCTCGCACCTGAACGTGCACAAGAGGACTCACACCTGCAAGAAGCCCTGGACGTGCGACACGTGTGGGAAGGGGTTCTCAGTACCCGGCCTCCTAAAGAAGCACGAGCAGCTGCACACGCGGGAAGCCAACCCCGATTTCCCCGGAAAACGGAGACACAGGGGCAAGCACAAGAAGCACTCCCTCAAGAGGAAGTATGACGAGGAAGAAGAGGGGAGCGATGACTATTAATCATGTTTGGTGATCAACGGAGCTCCCCAGATCAGTCTTTCTCAGACTGATATCAATGAAAGATGGGTCAGTGGAGAGAGCTCCAACACTGAGACCATGTGAACGCGTGACTATCTTTCAGTTCCACTTGTTACCCTGTGGTCGATATTTTGTGATCATGTGGTAAAGCCAGCAAAGATGTATTTTGACTAATTATACGCCCAGCTAAATGTAAAACTAAAGCTGTAATTATGAAGCAAGGAGTTTTAGGTAAAAAATGTACCCACATTTAGTGAAAATGTCAATCCAAACAGAGCAATTGTGTTTTGTTTTTTTGTAAAGAATTCTGTGATCAGTTTCTCTTCAAAGTTTCTCTTAAGAACTAAACTGGTTCTGTTTGAAAGTTGGGAACATACTTTCCAAACATCATGCTTATTAAAAGGGCCACGTCTACATGGCAAGTATTTAAAAGATTGACCTTGTATAAACAAGTATTTCAAAGCATGTGACTGTACCTGGTGTGTGTACGAAATGCTGTAGCATCTGTAGAAACTGTTTTATCTTCTTCATGTGTTCTCCTGGAAACTGGTGACCCCAAACCGCTTGAACCACTCGGTTTTGAACTGTAACATTTAAACTGCTCAGCTTTTTTAAAAGTCAATCTAATAAGTGTTCATGGCTCTTTTTGTGTTGCTCTAATGGTGAAACACTCACCAGATTCAAGGTTGATTTTGCAAATTGGTCAAATTTGCAATGAAACCCCCATCTATACTCACCCGGTCAAAGCAGCCATGTATGTAATCTATTATATGTATCCATTCTTTCTTTTATTTTCAGAAAAATAAATACTCTTTGCAGTCAAACTGTTTTCTGACTGGTGTGTGGTAACATTTTAAACAGCACAACGGGGGTTTAGATGTGGGCCTTACTATTATGTAATCACAGGGATGAGAAGATATTCTGGAGCATTACTCCTACAAGACCGAGGAGGATTTAAAATTATTGGATCAATTTGCTTAACAAACATGTTTTCTGAAACTGATTTGCAATGATAACTTGATCAAATTATTAAGAGTTCCCTAAATTATAAGGAAATCAATCTCCCTTATTTACTTAGTTTCACAAGTAAATGACAAAATATTATTTCCCACAATCTTTTTTTTTTGCCACAAACCTTAAAAAAAAGTAGAATATCCTGTCTTCTACGGGTGATGATAATATTTCATAGTGTAGATCCACATCACTGTTCAGTAGAAACAGTTTCAAACTACATGGTACACAAAGACGGAGATTAAAAAAACGGGGAGCTCCTTCCTCAGACCGGCTCAGATCAGATGACGTCACTTAGGCGACGGGAAAACGAGGCGCCATTTTGGAACAAAGTGAAAACATTCCACATCAGCCCTCTGGTTTAGGCGAAGAAGCACAAACTGGACCACGACATTCCAACATTAGGGAAGCTTTGGGAAAGACAGGAGCCCCACCATTACCGACCCCCCCACACACACCCCCACCGGGAGCACGGAGCGCTCAGACACCGGGACGCTGGAGGCAATGGCTTCAGACGTGGACACCGGTACGTCTGTTATGGTTTTCAGCATCTTACACCTAACATAATGTGAGTGCAAAATCACCAGGTGTTGCAGATAAAGTCCCGGCTATGGACGACATGCTAATAAAGTGGAAACGGAACGGTTTTGTTTATTAAAATGCTCTCAGCTGATGCCACGTGGATTTCCTGTAGAAGTTTGAATTGAGTGCATGTCTGTTGACACACAGGTTGACAGGTACTCACTCCTTTTGTGGTGCTTTTCTTTTGCAGACCCGCCCACTGGAGCACACATTCCTGAAGCCCTCAGCACGCCTTTCCCCCACATGAACTCACACGACCCCAGATTCCCTTCTGTCAAACTAGAAGACTGTGAAGCTCCTTCCACAAGCTCCACAGCAGCCATGCAGTCACCCATCCACACAGGGACAAGAAAAGGTAAGTACAAAGTGTTATTAGTAAACCCCTTAGTCTGCACAACTAGAAAGAAATGGATAAACGAAGCACTAAGTTGCACTTTTCTGTCTTGGGCTACAAGACTTTTGGACCTAAAAGATTCTGCTCTTTTGCTTCTTTCGCAGACAAGCCCACCTGCAATTGGTCAAAGCAGGAAGTTCTTGCATTGCTGACGTATTGGGCGAGTCCCGTCGTTCAGCTGGAGCTTCTCCGAAACGTGAGAAACAACGCGGTTTACAGTAACCTCAGCGCCAAGCTGTCATCGCACGGATTTAACAAATCGGCCCAAAAATGCAAGGAGAAAATAAAAAAACTAAAGCAGGACTACAGGAGAATCAAAAACAGTGATCACTTGGATGGGGGGAAGACTATATGGTTTGACATAATTGATGAAGTCCTCAGTTCCCAGGCTCCAGCGTCAACATATTCAGACATAGCAACCCCCCACTCAGCCGAGCCCACTCAGTCAGTTGTTTTTAATCCGGACACTGATGGTAAGTCGAAGTTTTGCTTTAAAAGCATTGAATGCATATCTGAGGATTGTTTATTTCTGTCATTTTTGTTTCCCAGTCGTTCAGTTAGATGCAAAGGATAGAAAATGCTGTTAAGGGCCAATAACAATAATTAGAATGTTATAGATGATTTTACAGTTATTGTTCTTGGTTTGTTTGATGTTTTGCTTTTACCTGACTACAACCCTGCTTTTCTTTTGTTTCTAGATTCTTTTCCGTACACAAGCGATTTTGATAGCCACATTTTAGCTGATTCGGAACCAGGTCCAATGGAGAAAGAAAAGGAGTCAGATTACTACTTCATAAGTATAGATGACTGTGGTACACCTTCTACGAGCAGCACCATGGAGTCCACAGCAGCACCCACTTTGTCCTTCAGCCACACAGAGAAGAAAAGATGTAAGTGCACACAAAAAAAGGATTCTCTTATCTGGTCTGGTGGACTTTGGGCTCCATCCAGAACTGGACCTCAAAGTGTTCTGATTTTAATAAAGCAGAATCTGTGGTGACATTTTTGAATATTTAATAATGTGTTCGTGGCTCTGCTTCTTTCAAAGATGAGCACACGTGTAGCTGGTCTAAAAAAGAAGTCCACGCGTTGTTGGCGCATTGGGCGAATCCCGCCGTCCAGCAGGAGCTTCAGCGGAACGTGAGAAACAACGCGGTCTACGGCCACCTCAGCGCCAGGCTGGCGTCGCTGGGATTCGACAAATCGGCCCAGAAGTGCAAGGAGAAGCTGAAAAAGCTGAAGCAGGACTACAGGAGAATCAAGAACAGCCAGCAGGTCTGCTGGAGCAGGACGGCCTGGTTTGGCATCATGGATGAAGTCCTGAGTTCCCGGGCTGCAGCGTGGAACTGTCCGGGAACGGTGAACCCCCCCGCTGCAGAGCCCCCCCAGTTTGATCTGGAAGCTGATGGTAAGTATAATTTCACAGCATCGTGCTGAGTGTTGATCTTCTGATGTCCTGAGCTAGCTATTTATCCACCATTCTCGGGCTCATCCTCATTGAATTGATTCAGACTGAAGCTGAAATGTCATTATCTCAAAACGTCAGCTCTAAATCGCCTCCAGCTCTAAATCCCGCTGTCTTCCCACAGATGAAACCCAGTGGACGGCTGATGAAGTCCAAGTGCTCATAACTCTGTGGGCGCAGCCCAACATCCAGAGGCAGCTCCTCGGCTCAGAGGCGGACGACCAAGTTTTCCCCTATCTCAGCAACGAGCTCGCCTTGGTGGGGTTTAACAAGACCCCCCAGCAGTGCAGCCTCAAAGTAAAAGAGCTGAAAGAGGAGTACAGGAGAATCAAAGAAGGGGAACAACATGTGGACGCTAAAAGTGACTGGTTTGCTGTCATAGAGAGTGTCCTGGGTTCTGGTGGAGACGATTCCAAAGAGCTGCTCCGCATAGCCCCCGAATCACCCAAAGGTGAGCCTGGTCACGTTTTAAACTCAGGGGTGAGATGTTTAGCCTCCCCCGCCCCCTCGACGGGCGTTACTGAGCCATCTCTGTTGCATCACTGCCAGCAGATTCCTCCCGTGCAGTCTGGACGTCGGATGAAGTGGACACGCTGCTCACGCGTTGGGCAGAGGACGGCGTCCAGGAGCGGCTCAGGTCCGACCCGGAGGACGAGCGGGTGTGCGCTCGGCTGAGCTCGGAGCTCGCCACTCAGGGCTTCCATAAGACCACCGGTCAATGCAGGGCAAAACTCCGACTCCTGAGACAGGAGTACGAAAAGGCCGATGGACAGAAAGACCCCATGACGCACGCAAACGGATGGTTTGGCATCATGGATAGAGCACTGGGTCGCGGCAAGCCGGCAGCAAGAGTCAAAGCTGAAGCCCCGGAGTCTTTGGACGGTAAGACAAGAGCATTTCACTCCTCAGACCCGAGTCAGTGCTTAGTCAGCTAATTTTTATACATCGGCCTGGGAAAGTTTGCCAATATAGGATGAATAAAAATCTCACTGAGCTCAGAAATGCTAGAAGTTACATCAAAGCTTTTGAAGATCCATTTAAGAGTGAGCTCTCAGTTTCAGTCCCGATGGTTTTGTGTATGAACATATGGAAACGCGTGCAGATTAAAGCTCACATGACCTCTGGTTTGCAGGTTTCCGCTTGTCCCTGCCCTCGCTGTGCCTCCTGGTGCCCACGCTGCGGCTCATGTGCGCCTTCGCCTGGCAGGTGGTGCAGCGCTGCAACGTGGCGCACTACCAGAAGGTGGAGGAGCTGGTGAGGTCGGTGGCGGAGCTGGCCCCCGAGCTGCTGACGCCCAGAGAGAGAGTGCAGCTCCTGCTCACGCTCCGAGCACGGGTGAGAGGCCCTCCGGCCCCGCCCCGCCGGGGGCCCCCAGTGAAGCCCCACTTAGCCCCGCTGAAACGGATGTTGTGGTGTGTTTCAGCTGGTGCTGGAGCTGTGTCGCAGCCGGAGCGCCCATGACCAGCTGGACGTCCAGGACCACCTGAGGGTCATTCAGGACCTCACCATGAGCCCCGGCTGTGCGCAGGAGGTACGGTGCTCCAGACGTATTTATTTATTCCCAGTAGAACACGCGGGGCCTTAATTTGAACAGTTTGCCAGCAGCTTTGTTGGGCTGCATTAGCACACGGTGAGTGACAGCTGAAGGGAAGCAAACATGTAGATGAGAGGACTTATTCTAGATCATTTGCCTGCTTTGCTGTTTGTTAAACTACACAAAATATAGGAATCTGTTGTATTTATTACCAATAATCTTTTGCTATTTAAACATATGGGTTGTTTTCGGTGATGCTCAGACTGCCCTCACATGACTTTTTCCCACCCATTATGTTTCACTGTTTTCTGTATTGTTTTGTGATGCTGATTGACAGGAGTTGGAGGAGTTGGAAGATTCCAAGTCAAATTTTGTGGAGATTGTTTGTGCCTTGCTCAACGACCCTGACGAGAGAGAGAGGTTTTTCACGGTCAGACTTTAAAAAAAAAAAAAAAGAAATTGTTACCGTCGTTAAGTGCCATTGATAATACTTGATGATAAGTCAGTGTTATGTAGATGAAAGAGTTTTTTTTTTTTCTTAGGAAGTCTTCCCCATTCACTATGGGCGGCAGTACGAGAGCACATTGCAGAGACTGGTATGGAAATTCATCTCCAGGCTTGATAACCTACTGCCCATCCCCGATATAAAACAGGTGAGCTTTAAATACTGAAATGCTTTGTTACAACAATACATTTCAGTCACTTTTTGTTTATTTTGGCTCTGGCAAACTGTCAGTTAGACAGCAGAATCATTTGAATATTTGTCTCTGTGTTCACTTTGCAAGATGATGAGTTTAAATCTGACCTGGCCGTTTGCATGTTAACGGCTGTTAAATGCGTTTGACAGACGGCGGCGTGGCTAAGCTCCGCCCCCTCTGTGATGGAGGAGTGCGAGCAGCTGGTCTTGAAGCCGGAACACCTAAAGGCGTTGATGCTTTTCCACGACCAGCAGACAGGAGGCACCAACAAATGTGAATAATTCACACACACTCAAAGCTGAGAACGAAAGCACATCGACCCTTTTTCTTTCAGAGCTGCTGTCTCTGAACAGGAAACAAGTCTGGAAACATCCGCATTATCTGTGCCTGTTGAAAATGTAACTTTTGCTTTTCTCCCTCAGGCTCAGAAAATCCCAACCTGTTTCTGCCCACATTGTCTCTTCGGCCCAAAGGAAAGTCAAAGCGGCACGTTCTAGAAGGACAGGAAGTGTGTGTGAGCAGTGAGGACCAGCCGTTTGACGCCAGCAGGGATGAAGGCATGGATACGGACTCCAAAAGTGCTGATGCATCGACTCTGGAGCTGCTTGTGGACGAATCTGAGGAGCTGAACGATGACCAAAGCGATGACCTGAAAGCTGCAAACTGCCTAGGTACGCACCCGGTTCGGGACTCCCAAATCTGTTTAAACACGTTCATTTAAACTCGGATAACCTTCTGGTCATCTGGCTTCTTTCAGAGGCGCAGAGGCATGGCTGTGCCATGTGTCCCTACTCCGACGCCGACGTCTCGGGCCTTCTGACGCACATCAGAGAGGAGCACCTCACGCAGGACGCCGCCGCCGCTGACCCGGACAGCGGCCAGGACTGCGGGGAGATCCTTCAGGACGCGGCGGCCCCGGACAGCCCCGCCCACACGCCCCGCCCGTCCTTCCAGTGCAGCAGCTGCGAGAAGCGCTACGCCTCCAAGGCCTCGCTGACCGCGCACCAGCGCCTCCACACGGGCCAGACGCCCTACCTGTGCCCCCACTGCGGACAGGGCTTCCGCTCCTCGTCCAGCCTGGACCTGCACGTGCGCACGCACACCGGGGAGCGGCCCTACAGGTGCCACGTCTGCGGGAAGACCTCCATCCAGCACCTGGCGAGGCACATGCGCATGCACCGCGGGGAGAAGAACCACCCGTGCGCGGAGTGCGGGAAGGCCTTCCTCTCCTCCGGGGAGCTGAAGCTGCACACGCGCTCGCACACGGGCGAGAGGCCCCACACCTGCAAACAGTGCGGCAAAGGCTTCGTCGCCAAGTGCCACCTGACCGTGCACGCCCGCCGGCACACGGGAGAGAGCCCCTACAGGTGCGCGCTGTGCCCCAAGTCCTTCGCCACGTTAAAGGCGCAGAAAAAGCACCAGAACATCCACTCGAGCAAGAAGTCTTTCCAGTGTTTAAAGTGTGGGAAAATATTCCGGCAAGAGGACACGTTCAAATTCCATATCGAAACCCACAGTGTGACGTAAACAGGTTTGATGGCATTTTGATGTCAGAAGTGCGACATGCAGTGACATTGTTCGGCGGGTCGGCTCTGATAAAAGCAGCTCTCCAGCAGCTTATTATCTGAAACTGTAAAGCTACCATTCCAAAACCAGTTCGTAACATGGCCAAAGTTGTTTGTTACTGCCAGAAAGCGTTTTTGTTTTACGGATACAAAATAAAGGAAAATTAGACAAGATTTGGCGTATTGGCTTCTCTTTTCCTTTGCTGAGAAGAAGTGTGTTGTAACTTTGAGTCCCAGTCATGCAGCAATTAACTACCCACTCAGTTCACCACAGAAAAATGTGCAGTTAACCAACCAGACACTCAACAGCAAGCAAGTACAAAATACTGTCTCAAAATCACAAAGTTAATTTTAACCGAGCCTGATCTTTTTATTCCTCCGCAGTTTAAATGGAAAGTTCTAATTCAGACAACCAGGGGTTGATGGAACCGTTGGTGAGATGGTTTTTAGTCCCAGGCTCATGTTTACTTAGATTTTTTTAACCTTCCCCGTTCAACCCTACTGCTGTGCAATGCCCCGTTCTCACATCTTCCACTTTTAAGCATAAATATGACAGTATGTGTCTGGACTGCCCCCCCCACCCCACCGCTGGGGTCCTCTGAGCACACAAACATGTCCGCTGACAGTAGGACGGCCTCATCCTCATTCCCCAAACGTGCAGCAACAATCACGCGCATTGTTCACACCACTGTCAGCGCTCCCTCGACAACATGTAGACCACACAGCTCTGACCCCCCCGCTGGCCTCCCACCGTGGCCCTTCCATGCTGACACGCAAAGCCTTTGGCCACAGAATAGCCCGCCATTCGTCTGACCCCGCGACCCCACCAGGAAAGCCCCCCGTCTGGAGCAAACCGCACTGAGTGGGACAGTCGGCCCACAGTGAGCACACTTCTGCTCCTGGTTCCTATATGACTGCACGGGATTGTTCTGGAGGTTTAGTCATGCAGATCATATGTTGGAGCGACTTGGGCATTAATGACCAGAACGTATGGGGCCGGATGGGTAGGAAATGTGTCATCCATACCCTGAGAGCCTCACAGACAGAAATGCAGAACCTGATAGAAGAATGAACAAACACCACCGGGAATGAAATCACCGAAACCACATTAGTAGAGAATGTGTTTTATTTGGGAGTTTAATGAAGGACAGATGCCGTCCGTTTCACTGATACTTTTCAGTTTAAAGGCCCTAAAAGAAGAAAAACAATTTTCTACACCTGCAATATTTTATGTCGTTATTCTCTTCTAGTCAATATTCTATTACTACATTAAAATAAAATAAAAACAGTTTAAGATGTTTTTTAAAGTGTAATAAACTAGGATCTGATATCTTACCTCTGAATTCTTTACATAGCTGAGAATATTGAGAGGATACAATGATTGAATATTCTGTGAGTTAGATTTTAGTGAGGCTGCAAAGTCTAAATTAATGCGAGAAAAAAAGGCTTCATAAAGGTGTTTCTACTTTATATCTTCTTTCGTGACGTCTTACAGGTGCTTCTGTAATAAAGAACTCAGTTGCCATTGTTTTGAAAGGGCGGAGAAACAACTTCAGTTTTCCTGAGCCAAAAGCATGACACGCGCTACCGAAACCCTGGATACATCTGAAAAGTTCGGTTTGAAATATGTCTTGTCTCTCATCCGCCCTCTGCGGAGCGTTCTAACGCCGTCCTGCTGCCAGGCTCCACATCTAAGACATGACAGTCTCTGCCATCATCCACCAAAACCCAAACACTCATCTGGTTCCACCTATCTCATTACTTCTCTTTGAGCAGTTCAAAGTAACTCCGACTCACAAACGATCAAAAATGTGCTCCTTGCTCCATCAGGGGGGAGTCAGAAAGTGAAGTCTTGGCGAATAATTCAGAAAAGTATCACCAACCGCATTAAGCAGTCAGCTGTCTGGACAAAGTGAACTGGAGTTTCCTTTCTCAGCATTCTTGTATGATCCATCATTAATGGCACAAATCCCAGCCTTTCCCTCTCTGGGTGTCAGATCATCTCTGACACGCTGCCTCAGACCTTTCCCTCATTTTTAACCCGTTATGTTCCGGATTCTGTGGGAAAAGAGCACACAGATGCTGAGACTGGTGAATATATCTGTACCTGTGAGGTTTTTGTTCAAAAGAACCCCCTGAAATCTGCTCCAGCGGTCAAGACAGCGGGTAGAAATATGCCATCAAAGCTGGGGGCTCTGTCAGAGAACCTTTCCCTTATATTGATATTGATAGTCCCAGGCAATGAATCATCAGTCCACAAAAATTCCCTAGTGCCATGTCCATACTCAGTGCTGTGGGCCACCAAGCCAATACTCAGGCAGCTCCCTCTACTGGGGGCCGACAACCTTCTCCAGCCTGCGTTAACATCACCACCGGTCAGCAGTTTGGCCCTCAGGACAGAGTCCAGTCCTGGCAACACTTTTGTGAGCTCATGTGTTCTGTAAAAGTCACATTTGCTTTTTCTTTTTACCCTGAATAGACAAATTGACAGGCTGCTCCTCATTGTAAAAGTGAACCTTTCTATTAATATTAGCAAGATTTGTCAAAGAAAATGTTAACAGCAACCTCTTTCTACAGTCACCTTTTATTGTGTTATACAACATGTGAACAGCATATCTACAAAATCATGAGTAAAAATGTATAAATTCCCTGTTTGAGTCCGTCAACAACATGTCCATGTCCATGACTCCTAAGACATAAAACACTGTTCTTCGTTTTCATCCTCAAATGAGATGAAACAGCAAACCTGTGGAAGCATCATCTGGAGGACTTCCCGTTTTCATGAACATCCATCCTGCAAACAGGAAATCTCAGTTTAGTGCATTTGAATTAAAAAAAGCAACGGCGAAGCCTTTTTTAAAAGTGTATTTCATCAACAGGATGCGGGATGCTGCGACCCACCCGTTCTCCTCTTTGAGGTGTTGGTACAGCTCAAATTTGTTGTTGACAGAGCTGGCTCTCCCCATAAACTCTTGGTGCTTCCTGGAATTGGCTGCCGTGATCCGATTGGTCCACATGGTGAGGAGCGACACGGGACCTGCAGCGATAAGGGGGAACTGGCTTCAAAGCACGGAATTTAGAGCAGAAAAGTCCCACGGTTTCCCCTGACACTGAACACAGCGCTACATAAGAACGTTGGTGAATATATACATATATTTTTTTTAATTCTCAGCAGATAAAGCGAGGAGCTAGGGAACCTTTTGCTCTCTCTGGTGGCTTGACGTCCTCCGCCATCAGGCGCGGCTTCTTGTTGAGCGGCTCCGGGGAGTCCGGGGAGTCTTTTATCACCTCTGACTCCTGCTCTTCCTTCTCCAGCAGACCCTTCAGTCTTCAGTGCGGTGCGGCACAAGAGAACAGACATCAATAGGAGACATAATTAAGTTTGGGTGCTGGCAGTGTTATGAAGCCCTCCTGGGAGGAGAGGGCTGCACATGAAAGCCCACAAACTGAGACCAAACAGAGCCCACTGACCTCTCGGAGTCCGGCCAGCTTTTATCCTCTGTCTCTTTGCTGCCATTTTTCTCTGCTCTGTCCTCCCTGTCCTCCCTCTTCCTCCCTCTTTTCTTCCTTTCCTCCTCTTCTGGAGGTTTGCTTCGACAGGCTATGATGCAGTCCAGGACTCGCTGGTGTCTGTCGGTGGCGGCGGAGTGCGTTTTCACCAAGGTCTCCAGCTCGTTCCACATAATGCGGTACTGTTCATCCCTGAAGACAGCAGCAGGGCAGCATCAGCAATCAGCAAGCTTACCAAGCCAAACTCAGCTTGATTCTTTATTTTTTTACGTGCCATACCTCTTGGGGCCTTTGCCTCTGGACCCCACGGTGGAAATGGGGAGGGGGTCGTTCTTCCTCTCCATGTCTACCAGGTTGTAGACGGTTTTTTGGCAGGTCAACACGTCCTCCTCAGTCAGAGTTTCTTTCACTATCAGGTTAGCTAGCGGAACCACCTTTTGGAGGAAATCAAGACAGCACAGAGAGAACACGTGAAGACACGGGACAACGGCCGTAGTGGTGAAGACAGAGATGAGAAGCCCGAGTCCGGGTCTGAGCCCACCGCCTGCATGTTGAAGATGGTGGTCTGGGAGATGATCATTGGCCAGTATCTGGTGTGGCGCTCCAGCTGAGCCTTGGCTCTCTCAACAGGGAGCTTCCCAGAAGGGTCGTGGGAAGACTCTGAAACAGGAGCCAGCCGGTTCTCCCTCATGAACTCACCGAAATCCTGACCAAATGAAAAAAGGAGAGGTTTCTCAGCAGGGAGGAAGAGAGTCCGGGTGGTCTGCTTGCTTCTGGGAGCCGGACGTACGGTGATCCTGTAGTCGGTCACTCGGCCTCCGCAGCCCTCGCTGATGGAGGGCGGGTCCTCTAAGGTGGAGCGGTTGCTGTTGAGCACGTGCAGAAAAATCTCGCCTCCGTGGCTGCTTAGCATGTGGCTGATGACCTTTGACCCCGACTTCCTCGGCTGTTCCAGCAGCACTGACCGACCTGAGGAGAGCGATGCACAAACAGGAGACTGACGTTTAACATTGTGGTGATGGCACGGGTCATTCCAGGTGGAGTCAAAGGAGCGGTGCGTCATCGGAAATGCACGTCTCGCTCACCGTTTAGAAGGAAGTTAGTTAAACAGGATGAGGGGCGACTGTTTACGTCTGTTGGGGAGATGCGATAGGCCCCTGTGCAGTAATGCAGCTCTGCAGTGGGTTTGAAAAAACAAGAAATAATATATTCAACACCATGAAGAGAACAATGAACATGTCAGGTGGCCTACAAGATAGAGAAGACATTATTTGCTGACTTTCCAGATTTAATGCAAAAAAAAAAAGGTAGATTTGTCTCCAAATGGTGCGTGAAATCTAAAACCTTTCAAATCAAATTAGAATAAGAGCACCCACCTATGCTGTTGGTTCGTGGAGTGCACCATTTCAGTGTCACTGTCTCTTTGAGTCCATTTTCCCGGGTGCTCGTGCCTGCCATGTGCAAGTCTCCTGCACAACAAAAACACAGCGGAGCACTCTGGATGACAACCAAAAATTACCAACAGCAAAAGTCTATTACAAATAAAACAGAATAACAACAGAAATGATTCACAAATGAGTTCAACTCCCACTGCCACAAAATCCTTTGTTTCCTTTTAAAAATGTTCTGCTAGCATAGTTTGGGGAAGTGGAGGCATATGATGCCCAAAAACACAAACAAAAACTGGAACCAACAGCACTGACTGGTCTTTGAGGAACGAGGGCTCACCGCTTTTAAAGAACTCCAAGTGAGCGTCTCTGTGATGCAGGAGCTCCACGTCGTAATTGGCTGATGTGTTGGCATGCTGCTCTTCCTGTCCATCCGCACAGACAATAACAAACGCAGGTTAGCAGGAAGTCAGCTCGTCCCGAGCAGAGCAACACTGCTGATTTCATGTTCCAAAGGGTAAGTGATGATGGGCAAAGTAAAAGGAAAAATGTTGGCTCGCTCTGTGAATCTTTAGATCAGAGACTAGCTTTTTTTTTTTTTGCCTTTTTACACAAGTGTTTTGAATTGACTTTGGCAATAGGACTTTAAATTATTCAAACTGAGACTCATCAAAGAAAATCGGTCATAGTCACATATTCATGGATGGGTGTGTAAAAAAAAAAAATTGCAATCAAGACAGCACAATTGACAACATTTAAACACTAAATGAGGTGTTCATCATGGGGGGAAGAGGGGCTTGAACGGTGTGGGACAAAGAGTAAGGGAAGTCCATACAACTTTTATGCCATCCAAACCTAACAGACACTGAGGTATCAAATAAATCAGAAGAGGAAACGCTGGTCTCATTCTCAAATTATCCAATTTTTTAAACAGATATTCTAAATTTGTTTTTGTTTTGTTAAGTCTAACGGTGATATTTCTGCTTCTTACTCTACAAGTTTTCAATTTCACAGCCAAACTGCATCCTCAGACCAGCGTTGCCCGTCCTCTGCTTGAGCCTCACCGTCAAATCTGCCCGGCAACTGCCAACGAAAAATCTCTATATGATGCTGTGCAACTGTTTGTGACGGTGAAGCTAAAATAAAACACATTACACGGTGTGAACTCCTTCCTTAGTTTGATGTGTGTGTGATCAGAGTACTAACCTGTTCGCAAACATTTAATGTGGGCTAGCAAAACAGAAAATACAGCATGAAACCAGCAGCAGGGTCACAGTCATATCAACATGCAGATGAGATAACCAAAAAGGTGAGACTGCAAAATTTCATGAGTTATTACAGGGAAGGAAAAGCAGATAATTAAAGGTTAAGCAAGCAAATGGAATATTATGAGTGTGAAAGGAAAAAGTAACGTAAAGGCAATGGGAAGTAAAGTGAGTGTGCACTCAACTCTGACTTTTTAGCAGGAAAAGTAGCAGAAGAAAATGTCTTTACTGTTAATGTTGCTTCACAAAGGAAAGAACAAAACCGCACAAAAAGCTGACAGAAGAAGAAGAAGGAGAAGCTCTTTACTTTCATGGGGATGTTTGTTATGGTGGTGGAAGCCAAATCAAAGTGCTGTTGGACCAGAATGTTGAGTTTGGAGGCCAGGTGTCTCCCAGCACGAACGCTGTGAACCTCGCTGGTGAGCAGGGCGGAGATCTGGAACAGCAAGAGGGGTCAAGTTTGGACTAAGAGCCGAGGAGAGCTGGGCTGGGTCCTCAGATTTTTCCCACCCACCTCTTTTTTGGGGCGGTCTGACACCAGCGTGTCCTCCCCCAGTGGGTAGATGTGTACTAGAACTAGGTCACATTGCTGAATGGCCATCAACCTAAAAGCCACAACAGCAAAGCGAGACTATGATAAATAATTCAGGGGAGGGTGTGATCAGAGGGAGATATTTTGCAATTAATTTCACCAACTTAAAGACTCTTATGATCTACTGACCTGTCTGAGCTTGCCGCCAGTTTGTTTTGTTCTAAAATAGTTTCCTGAATACAATCCTCCAACATGCGCACATGAGTATCACTGTCAGTCAAACACAGAAAGAACAACAATGAAAACATACAGGTGCTTCCAAAATCTGTTTTTACTCTTAAGAAACATATTTTATCCTTTAAATAAACACATGAACAAGACATGTGTCGCACAATTACTGCGCAGTCTCTGATCCATGGCAGGTTATAGGCAGGATTTACCTTTTTGCATTGGTTAGGCAGATAATTCGGCCTCTATTGGCAACCCTCTCAGCAGTTTCCATCAAAGCTGTGCGCCTCTCGTGCTGTAACTCTGTTATCTTGCACAGTGACTCCACAGCAGCAACTAGTCCATGCAAGATGCTGCAACACTCTGGGTCCTCGCGAGGATTCGGTGGCCCGACAGCTGCCAGAGCTGACATTAGCTGCAATGACAAGGGGAGGGGCTATGATTCTGGAGACTTCTACATGAAAAACGATCAAACTTTTTAAAAGAAATGTCCACTAAGTAAAGTTTATCGGGCAGCTATTGACCTCATGAGTGCTCTGAGCTTCCCGCCTCCAGCTGTTCAATATGTGGAATTCTGAATCGCTCACTATGTAATTGATCTGAAGCACAGAAAAAGACAAAAATCAACAATTTAAATTACTGAACAACACAGGACTTTGAGTGTCTCTTCCACATTTTTTTTTTCTCATTACAACCCTTCTGTAAAACCAGTAGATTATGCTCACAAGTTTGTCCAGCGGATAAACATCGTAGAGGATCCGGCAGTACTCCATGGAGCACTCAACAGCGCACGTCCACAGGGATTTGGACACTGGCGCCAAAGGAATGACCCCTTGAGCTCGGCTCTTTGTAAGCACGTCACACTCCACCTGCTGACGACTGGACTCCGCCATGTACGGGCAGTGGTCCACCACAAAGACGGTCTTGTGTGCCACCGAGAACATCTTCATCTTGCAAATTTTCAGTGGGCGCTGATCTGCAAGATCATAGAGGAACTCATTGTTGTTAACCTCTGGTTCATTTTTATTCTTCTGTTTCATTTTTATTACCGCTTTTAAATACATCACACATACAAGCTTTTGTGTATGAATTGTTCAAGAGTTCACATGTAAAACAAGCACTGATCATAGAATTATTTGTAGGAGGTCATGAACCTCTCTGACGGGTACCTTTCCATCTACATTCTGCACCCATAATATCAGAATGTTTCATAAAAGCTCTCCTTTTTCCTATGGCATATGGCATCTGAAACATATTTATCAAAGCCATATTTGATATTTTACGTTAATACACCTACAACAAATAAATATAATTTGAATTATTAAATGATTGTGAATAACTGTACAAAAACAGTCAACGTTAACTCACCTGAATATAAATCAGCCGACAGCTTTCGGCGACACTGAAGAGGATGTTTCTCTTTTCTGAGCTAAATTTAAAAAAACATAAACTTCCTTTCAGACTCTAATGTGTCTCAAGACATGTTTATAAGAACCGAAACCGACCCATCCGCAAGCTGAAGTCACACGACCTGCTACAGTCTCATGTCAAAGGCCACTGCGTTAGCCTGCTAGCTAATACGATATGCTTGTATTTATTCGCTGATTCACGTTTATCATCAGCAGTGGAGACAATACCAGTTATATAACTGTGTAATACAAAGCAAAATGTCCAATAAGAAACTAACTAACGCATCATATTTAACTAATATATGTATGCACTTAGAAGAGACTAGTACGAACAATACATGTAAGGCTGGCGTAAGCTAGCAGGTTTGTTATTGGTGGAAATGTGTGCAGGGCTTGTCCGTCGTCATTTTCCTTCCCCAGATCCAAAATATGTTAGAAGTCGTTCCCCATACAGGAATTGGGCGTTAACTATACTTACAGCTTTATGGATTGACAATAGAATCAAGACAAGTCATTTTATAATATTAAGAAGCAAGGTGTTGAAATCCCAGATGTATTTATGCTTTGCCGGAAAGTAAGGGATGAGTGTGTGCTGTGAAAATGAATTGTTGCATAAAACTTCTCAGCGCAACGCACCGGTTCCCTTTGTCGTTTGCTGTTGGAGTGTAACACGTCGTAAAATATAGAAATTTAGCGGTGGTATTACTTCAGTAGAGATTTTTGGTTTAACTCTTCAGTTGCCTTCCTTTCCACTCTCACTCTGATGTTTTCCCTACAATGAAATTAATAACATTTTTTGTCAACAAGCAAGTTTGACGTTTGTTTGCAAACAGCTGGAAGAGTTGTGCTTACATCAGATACACTAACTAGGTTGAATACGTCAGCAGATGCAAAAGAAAAAAGAGCATTTCTTGCAGTGTGTGTTCACAGTATGAGCTTGAACACTCCTCCTTCGCCCCGGCCTCCTCCCACCCACCCCACCCGTTTCACGTTCGTTTGTCAACTTCATGCCACAACTTGACCGAACTCTGTGTTTCAATCTGTGTTGTGAAACAAGGCAGTGATGTGCCGGAAACGGGCTATCGCTCCAAAATCAAAGGACCATAGAGCAACTTAACCTCACTTTACTGCTGGAGAGAAGAGGTTTATGTTTCTGGAGACCTAACAGAGTTTTGGGAAACTGAGAAAACTACACATTTGAGATGGAGGACGTCTCTGACATGGAGGAGATGGGTGACATAGAGATGAGCATGGTGGAAGAGGAAGTTGGTGAGCGTGCCACTTAAATCTTTCACAAGAAGCATTTTATGTTTGTCTTTGTGTGCAAAAGTGTGTGCGCTGTCATGGTTGGACTATCCATGCATCATTTCTGTACAGTTTGGTTTCTGCTCAAAAAGCATGGGCTTGTATGTAACCTTTGACCCTATTTGGGGTCATTTATGAGTCTTACTTCTGCTGATTCCATCCAAAAGTTTACACAAATAGACGTGAGTGTCAATGACTCCTTTATTAAAGGAGTGATAATGAAAAAACTAAATTTTTGAATATTCAGCTCACGCAAACTACATGCTTAAGATGAACTGTTCAGCAGTGGTCCGTGGTGCACACATGCACACTAAAGATGCTCCACAAAACACCACTGAGTCTGTAATGTTTAAAAACTTGACTCTCACTTCATAATTCATCAACAGCTGGTCGGAGGTGATTTCATTCCTTTGTTATTTGGATTTTTTAAATTCCTCTGACTAGGGACCGGAGCTGTGAGGTGTACACACAATAGAAGTGGCTATTGAGTCTGAAGCAGTTGTAAAAATAGTCAGAGCTGGAATGTGACAATATGTGCTTTTCCAGAAGACAGGTTGTTATTCTCATATGCTCATTTGTGTCTGTTTAGGATTAAAACACTTTTTCTTTTTACTTAGACATACTTTTAAAAGAGGTACTTACAGACTTACTGATCATTTATTTTCGGTTCCAAAAGCCTTTTGTAAAAGGACACATCTCTAAACTCATGGAAATGACCACAGCGTGGCACAGTGGTCCACAGAGGGAGTGTCAGAGAGCACACCACTCTGTGCTCACTCTGAAACAGCTGTTTCCCCAGAGGTTATACTGACCCAGTCTTAATAATCATCAGATGAAAACTCATTTGAATTGATAAATGATGAAACAATCTCACGTGGAAATGCAGTTACAAACTGAAAGGACTTTGTTTTCATAGACATCTGTCCTGGGAATGATATTCCGGTCTGTTTGTAGGTTAGCATTTCCTGTCTGATGACTCCTTTCTTGCTTCGTTACTTTGTATGATGGTGGGAGGGGGGAATCTCGAGAGAGGAAGTCGATTCTCAGTTGATGGGTTGTGGCAGGATGAGTGATTTTTTATGTCAGTCATGAGCGTTTCTCCAACCCACCGACCACAAAGCAGACCCACCGTTTTGTTTTCGGATGATTGTTTTTATCAAATGAGTCTTGTATTGATAATTAAAAAGTGAGATCTGAAACAAAAAAGACAAAGGATGTCAGATTTATGAGTAAAACTCAAAATGCTAAAGCAAAAAAACAAAAACAAAACTCAAATGTGTTAACAGCTCAACTCGTCTGGCCTCTCAGAATGCAGACTCAGAGCTCAGCCGTTGAAATTCTTACAGAATTTGTAAGGCCTTTGCTCCCAGGTTCCCACCATGTTACTATGGCCAGTGTTTTGACAACAACATCTGTCCTTAGTTAGTGCTCTGCTTTACTGGCAGGATTAAGACTTTCCATATCAGATGATTTGTCGTCTGTTATAGGAAAGAGAAAAAAACATCCAGCATATCTATTAGGTTATTTGTTGAAAATGTTAGTTTTTTTTCTGTTGATGGATTTTATGTTCTGTCAGTGTTTTGATACCGTAGGTTGATTTATTGTGGGGAGCACTTCACTCGACAATGGTCTGCCTCTTTTTCCACAAAGAATCACAGTCTTTGCTGCTTGAGAGGGCACCACTCAGGCCGGTAATCAGATCAAGTTAGACAAACAGACGTTATGTTCATTTTAGAATATAGATTTAGAATAGAGACAAGAATAAAACTTGATTGTAAGTGGTTTACGGTCGATGAAAGAGCTCTAGAGAATACGATTAATGAGATTTCACACATTAATATAAAAGACTTCTGTGTTTGAATAAAAGTTTTTAAAAATCTATTTTACCAGAATACTTCCTGTTTATATGGAAAAGGAATTTATTTTTTCCCACCCTATCTTTCTCTGTGCCTGCCTTCAGGTCAGGATGGTAAGACACATATATTCATAGAGTGAAAGCCACTGAAAGTACTTTCAAGTGCACACACACACATAGGATATTAAAGCAGAATGGCATCCTGATGTGTGGGTCTGGTCTTTTTCCTTCACAGTGTACCCTCAGGAGTTTTTACCAACATATCATTCTATCAAAGAAGGAGGAAAAGTAACCAAAACAGATCTGGTGAGTCACCACGGCCTCTGTTATCTGAATGTGTTGGTTTTACACCGTCTGATGAATTGTACTTACATTTTTTAATGTTATCAGGAGAACTTTAGAAATTCCTCTCGTTCCTTCCCCACTTTTCAGTAAGAATAAGAGTTAGGAAAACAGGATACTCCAACAGGGGATGCAGCAACCAGTGTCAGCAGGAGCTTTATTAATCCTAAGTGTTGTCACAAGTCTTTTCATGTGGTGAGACGGAGGGAGGCAGGCCAAGGGCGGGCATCATAATGTTTGTTGACATTTCCCGTTTCCCCTTCATGGCCAAGGCCACAGCTGAAATTATCCCGTCGAGGACGCTCCAAACAGTGTCTCTGCTCGGGCCGTCGAAGAAGTGGCCTTTTGCTTATTGTCCTGTTCAGCATGTACGACATAATGGAGGAAGAGGAGTACGAGTTTCAGGCGGCAGACTTACCTGATGAGCCCCATTTCTGCCCTCAGGTGGACTTTAACGACAAACCAGACTCCTTGTTCTTCAACGACGGCGTGAGAAGGATCGACTTTGTTTTGGTGTATGAAGACGAGGACAAGAAGGACTTTGAGAAGAGGCACACATACAAGAAACGGAAAGTGAGTTACGCATCAAGTTCAGTTCATAATCATATGAATTATTCTATTTAATCATTGTTAATATTTCAGTTTTGACCTGCTTAACTATTTGGATTTCTCCTGCTGGGGGGAAGACGTCTTTTTCTTTTGTGTTATTCGCTGTATAATATCTGTAGGATACATATAACACAATTTCATAACGATAATATGATTTTAAAATCAGTATTTTCCATCATGCAAAGAACCTACAACGACCTTGCATTCATTCTAAAATTATAACGTGAATTTTTGGTATATTATGAAGTTGTTCATAAGTTTTCAGACTTAGGAAATATGAGGATGTGGATTTATTTGTTTACACCCAACTGGACGGACTGCTGCGTCTTTGTAAAAGGTGTTTTTATTTGCACGTGGATGAAGGTGTTTGACTTTAAACTATTTACCAGAGCCTGTGTGTAGAGGATTAAACGTAGTTTCATTTTCAGTGTTCAGTGCAGCCACTTGCTTTATTCGGCAAGGGAGGTGGGAGCAAATGAAGAGCATCATTCCTTCAGTTAAACAAAATTGTTGCCAGGAAAACCCAAATGGATCCGTTTTTTCTTCTTTTTAAAGTCGTGATTCTGCCTGATATGACCATTTCTCAAAAATGAATTGGTAAAGTCAGCTTCTGTGGTGTTAAGGACAGAAAAAACTGAAATCTCGGGCCTGAGGTGTGGCTTCAGTCTGTCACAACAGGCTTACCTTTGTGTTTGTGCAATACGGTGTTTGGTGGGACGTCTGAACCATCAACATTAAAGTCTTTCTGTGCTGCAACATACAATGTAATGCAAAGCCTGAAGATGTGTTGAAATCACGAATGTGGTCGGTGAAGGACAGAATCATGATTCATTGACAGTGTACTACAAATATGAATAAAAAATCAGGTTTGTTTGAGCGTTTAACATGTGATAAGACGGCAGAGTTTGTCCTGCGTAGCAGTTAGTGTAAACTGAAAACATGCCCTGCACAAACACACAAACACAAAGCGTGTTTTGCCAGTTTCAGTCAATGACTGAAATCCATGGTGTGTCTGTCAATCAGAGTCAGTGCTCATGGATCCTCGCTGCTGCTCCGACACAAATGAGAGCATATTTCTTTCACAATCTCAAAAGAAAGAATCAAAGCCTGTTTGTCTCAGAAAGTTTTGAAATCAGTCAGATGAATCAGTCATTACATTTTCGTAATAGAAATTAACATGAGGGTACATCAAAGTCTGTTTGATGATAATTCAAAATGATCAAAATTCCTTCTATTAAAAGAATTGATGATGCGTTTTTCTGAAGAGACTTTTAAATCTCTGTATTTTAACCTTCCTTTTTTCATACTAACTCCATTTTTGTCACCCACATTATTCAAAGTTCATAGGGCTTATTTATAGTATAAATAATTCATGGGTTCCCGGAAATGTCCACATGAATGTGCAGACGCATGGAAACTGCTTAAAGAGAAGTGGAAGCAGCAGTGTTGAATTAAGAGTGTAAAAAAAAGTTCTTTTACTGGTTGCTTTGTCTTCTTTTTACCTAAAGATGCGGAGAGAATACTTTGAGAACAGCTTGATGCAGATGGGCATGGAGTTGGAGGCGACGCCATCTGTAAGTTGACGGTCTGTGAATCCGGTCTCTCCTCCTGTCCCTCCTGCCTGAACGTAGCTCTCCGTGTGCTCTGCAGGTAGTGGACGACAAAGTCATATTTGTGAAGGTCCACATGCCGTGGAATGAGCTGTGCACCTACGCCGAAGTCCTGCACATCAAGCTTCCCATCCAGCCCAACGACCTGTCCTCCCGCCCCTCCATGTGGCGCTTTCTGTCCTGCATCACCAAGTACTTCTACCCCAACGAGGACCTGATCTGCAAGGAGACGGAGTTCTTCACTGCGCCTTTTGAGAAAGGCCGCCAGGAATACTTCTATATCAAGGACAAAGATCTCTTTTTCACTCCATCCATGAGGAGCAGGATGGCAAGTTGCAACATGCCGCTGCAGAATCAGGATCAGAGGGTCTTTTAGCTGCCAGGAGCCAGGCATTTTTCGAGATGGAGATAGTTTAAATATGGTTGGGGGGGTTTGCGGTTACGTCGTGTTTTATTTTAGGAGTTGAACGAATGGCAGTTCACGTTTAAAGTTTTTCCTCTTCTCCCAGGCGTATTACATCCTGAGCAGAGCCCCCTATGAAATCCGAAAGAACTACAAAAAGTTTGGCATCACCAAGCTGCTGGATAGTGGAGTGTACAAAGCTGCCTATCCCCTTCACGATGTAAGTTTTTACTTTGTTGGTTGTCTGCATGTTACAGCATACTCATGCCTTGCTAGTGTGCTGTGCATTAAGTGGTTCGCAATGTGTGAAACGCTTCTGTTTTGTTTTTTTATTTAAGAGTGAGTACAACGTCAGATCCAGTGAGGATGGTTATCCTAGTGAGAGATATCAACTTTATCAAGAATGGGCTCATCCCAAGAGCTTCTACAAAATGCAACCACTTGATCTCATAAGGTGAGCCCATGCTTGTCTAATCTTGTCTCAAAAAAATGTTTGAATCTATATTGTATGACAATGCTCTGTTTGTTGTCCCCATAGGAAGTATTACGGGGAGAAGATTGGCATTTACTTTGCGTGGCTGGGCTTCTACACGTTTATGTTGGCTCTGGCTGCCGTTGTCGGGCTGGGCTGCTTCATCTATGGATACAAGACTCAAGAAACAAGCACCTGGAGGTACTGCAAAGGATGACGTGTTTGTGTCACTGCTGTCCCTTTAGCTCACCCTGCCTGATAACGTGTCCCCTGTGTGCAGCAAAGAAGTATGCGATCCAGAGGTCGGAGGTCAGATTGTAATGTGTCCACAGTGTGACTTCTGCAAATTTTGGACATTAAACAGCACCTGTGAGACTTCAAAAGTGAGTTTTATTTGATTTTGTCTGACTCCAAGTGAGATGAATCAGCTAGTTTCTGTGTAACAGAGCATTATTTGATCTATTGATAATGAAACACAGTTAACACGTCACAAGAGACAGATTAAAGTTTTCTTGAGGCAACAGTTTCATCATGGTTTTTCTTTCTCTTTCTGTTCTTTTTTATAGAAACTTTGCATATTTGATAACTTTGGGACGCTGGTGTTTGCCATTTTCATGTCAGTCTGGGGTAAGTTGCAGCTTCATCTTAATGTTGATCCTCCTCTTCAGTGTATCGGACATAGATGGTTGTGCAGTACATTAAGGTTATTTGACGCTTCATACTATAACCGAGACAAAGAACGGTGGACTGTGTTTAGTGTTGCTTCCTTTGCTTTACGGCTTGTTTTTTTCCTGCAGTGACTTTGTTCCTGGAGTTTTGGAAACGTTACCAGGCAGAGTTGGAGTACGAATGGGACACTGTGGAATTCCTGGAGCAGGAAGAGCCCCCTCGCCCAGAATATGAGGCCAAGTGTATCTATGACAGAAAAAACCCTGTCACTGGGGTGAGACTTCCACCGATTGATTTGTCCAGCTACTTATTGTTGTTTTTAATGTTTGACGTTTCATAGTGAAACTTTGCTATTCAGGTGAAAGAAAAAGTGCCGTACACAGCCTGTGGACGATGCGTTCGGTTGTCGATCGGAATAGGAACAGTCTTATTTTGGGTAAGTGTTTTTTATTTGTAAAATAAGTTACAGTAATTTATTTGATGTTGATTTCCGATTTAATCATGAACCCTTTAAAAAATTACTCTTTTAAATTTGTATTTTAATTACATGTTTACATGTAAAAAACATATTCTAGAAATGATTGATTAAAGTTATATATTATATACATGAATTTGTATGTAAATACAGTATTTATGCAGAAAGGCTGAACAACAATGTTTTGAATTGTTCTTTAGATCATGCTGATCCTGGCCTCCATTGTGGCCATCATTGTGTACCGATTGGCCGTCTTCATTACATTCTCATATAATTTGAGAAAAAATGACCTGAAGAATTTAGAGCCCATAAAGGAGTATGTGACTCCTCAGATGGCCACCTCCGTCACGGCTTCACTCATCAGCTTTGTTGTCATCATGATCCTCAATATTCTCTATGAGCGGGTCGCCATCTGGATCACAAACTTCGGTGAGTAGATACCGGATCTGTACTTTTTTTAGTCGGCTAAGAAGAACACGCTTCGATGCTCTAACCTTTTTGGTCTCCGACCCAATTTCAGAGCTTCCACGCACCAGGACAGACTACGAAAACAGCCTGACACTGAAGATGTTCCTCTTTCAGTTTGTCAACTACTACTCCTCCTGTTTCTACATAGCCTTTGTGAAGGGAAAAGCAGTCGGCCATCCCGGAGACCCGGTTTATTTGCTGGGAAAATACAGAAATGAGGAGGTACTGTTTGTGTGTGGCATGTTTTTACTTTGAAGCCCCTCGGCTTTCTTAACTCCTGTGGGATTCCGCAGTGTGATCCCGGCGGTTGCCTGATTGAGTTGACCACTCAGCTCTCTATCATCATGGGGGGAAAAGCCATCTGGAACAACATCCAAGAGGTCTTGCTACCGTAAGCATTCAGAATCATCTTGCTTTTCTTACAGAATGTTGAACAGAGGCTGAACCACTGCTGCTGTGTGTGATCTCTTCCGCCCCTTCACAGATTGCTGAAGAATCTTTTTGCCCGCTATTGTACTCGTGCAGCCTCAGAAAAGGTGAAGCCTCGCTGGGAGCAGGACTACGAGCTCCTGCCCATTTCAAATCGGGGCCTGTTCTATGAATATCTTGAGATGGGTAAGATGGCCATAAGGTCTCACTCCCAGTATTTTCTGTCACATTGACTGTAGTTTGCCATATAAATGTGCCTAGCTGTAGAGACTTAAGCTGGTTACAGTTACAATTTTCACCAGATGTGATGGAATTCTGGGTGCCATCATAACTGTGTGTGCTCTTCCCTGTCAGTCATCCAGTTTGGCTTTGTGACCCTGTTCGTGGCCTCCTTCCCTCTGGCCCCAGTCCTTGCCCTGATCAACAATCTGTGTGAGATCCGGGTGGATGCTTGGAAAATGACGACTCAGAGTCGTCGGGTCGTGCCAGAGAAGGCCCAGCATATAGGGGCCTGGCAGCCCATCCTGCAGGGCGTTGCCATCTTGGCTGTAGCGACCAACGTAAGTTTGTTTTCGATATTCTCTATTAGCTACAGTTGTGTAGGTCTGTAGTAAAACATTTGCAGAGGCCCTGAAGATCATAGGCATCCGATACTGATTCTTGGAAGTCTTCTGATTCACTGAATCTTTTGATGATATTATATACTGTAGTTGATGGAGTATTTCAAGTTTCGAATATTTCAGTATAACGTCTTTTTGGAACTATTATTATGTAATAAAAGTGTAACGTTTTCAGGAGTGACTGACTGTATTTGCTCTTAAAAAGCATGTTTTTAATGGTATGAGGGTTGATTTTTTATAAAGGCTGGAAATCCCCCCGACAACCTCCTCCCTCCTTCTGTGACACTCCCTTTGTCTTCTTGTGTTTCAACAGGCGATGATTATTGCTTTTACATCAGACATGATTCCACGGCTGGTCTACTACTGGTCGTTCTCAGTGTACCCGTATGGAGATCACACTAATCACACCATGCAGGGTTACATCAACAACTCTCTGGCCATATTCGACATCAAAGATTTGAAGCAAAATATAACCGACCTTAAAGATTCTCTGCCCTCCAACATCAACACCTGCAGGTAAAAAGATCTATGTCTGCTCTGCTTATATTTCTATTTCTGTTGTTTCCACATACTGGAGCATTTCTTAGCATTTTTCTGTCAGTTTCATACATAGTTTTTCCCACCAAACTTCAGTATCATAATCATTTTGTGCTTGTTTACACAACATACAATGTAATGCATTATTTCATTATTTAATAATAAGACATTAGTTGCAATTAATTAGTTTTTAATTCTAAGTCAGATGGAACGCAGCAAAATAATAATTTGAAATGGAGTCAGTGTCTTTTAATTAAGTAGTATTTTAATTAAAACCCCAAACTTTAATTTAGATATTAAAGCTTTACATAGCAAGGTATAAAATATCACAGAGTGCTATAATGGCAATACTAGCATGCTATGTCAAACCAACCTGAGGTTTCTGTAACGTACACAATATGTAAGACTCCTTAAGTGGGCAAAGGACCATCAACATCGGGCAGAGAACGTTTAAGTTTGTTTTTTATGTTAATGGATGTCACCCCACCCCTTTTCCGTGGAGCTCATTTGGTAAGTGGTTGACCAGAGGGCGTGCACCATGCCACCACAAATGCACAGTTGCACAACGTGAACAAATGCTGAAAAACTTTATACCAGAATGGCCAGTGTGCAAAGACAAAGATGGCTGCTCTGTGGATACATTCATGTTTTAGAGTTATGTTGAAAGTATTGTGTTTTAACTTTTTCCTACAGGATTCTAAGTCAGCAAATCTGACATCATTTAAATTGACAGTGAAATATGTTTTAATTTACAGTGATTTATTGACACCCATTTAAATAGTAGCAAACTGATGTTTAGAATACTTTAAAAAGAAAAAACTTCTCTTTCAGGTATCGAGATTATCGGTTTCCCGCAGGACACCCCAGGCAGTACGAGCACAACATCTTCTACTGGCATGTGGTTGCAGGAAAAATGGCTTTCATAATTGTTGTCGAGGTAAGTAGAATAAAAGAAGACTTAGAAATATTTGTTCTTAAAGCATTTGAGATGTACAGTAATCAACCTCATGTTTCCTTCTCTCCCCGCAGCACATTGTTTACTTCACAAAGTTCATCCTGTCCTATGTGATCCCAGACGTCCCCTACGCTGTCAAAGAACAAATCAAACGTGAGAAGTACTTGACCCAAGTGATTCTGCACGAGACCAACCTGAAGCTGGTGACCAAACGTAGGAAACCAGCCGAGGAAGCGAACTTGAGCCATGCAGAGGAAAAATTTGCAAATGACGAGATGGAGCTGGATATCTCATAGAAAAACACAGACATGGAAATGTATGTTCTTGGACAGTTAATTAGTTATTACTAAGTTATTACTAATTACTTATGTTTTTGTTTACTTCCTGCTCAACACCCACTTCATATTAATCCATTCTTGTATTCTTAACCATTTTAGATACTATTTAGGAAATCATAACTTGGCTCAACTCGAGACAGAACCCATATTCTTATTTCTCCCTAAAAGACAAATGGCATCTCCCCTCTATGTTCCAACAGGTTAATGAGATAATTCAGCCCCATTTTGTTTGCATCAAACTGCATCAGATCTGCATCAGATGGAATTTAGAACCATCTGATCTACAAGTAGCACTTAGACCACAAGGCTGATTTTCAAGTCTTAAGGCATTTGGGTGTTATAATCTATTTAAACTGAAATTAGAACAATTTCAAACAGCCTTTTTTTTTATCAGATTGGTCAGTTTACAATAACCGCACCCGATTCCTGTTTGACTTTAAAGGATAAATGCAGTGAATTCTAATGCTCCAAAAAAGCTTAAATATTTCGTCAATTCTTCAAAATAATGACAGTTTGTGAATACGAGTCTTTTGGCTTTGTGACTGTTACATTTTAGTCCGGATCAATCTGCCAGCAATGGCATCTCACTGTCCATGTAGCTTTGTGCTGAACACACAAACACTGCTGGGTGATTTATTTTTGTTCCATCTAAAATAAGTATTTTCCAACAGAATTTTCCTCCACCTTGGAATACAACACAAAGACAATCAATTGTTTTGTTGTTTTCTTCATCCTGATAAAGGACAGTGTGACCTGTGTTGCGCAGATGGAGTCCCTGGGTGTTTAAAATAATGTTTAAGCTGTGCTCCTATCGCTATATGTGCCTGGCCGACAATTTTACCTCAAAATCAGTTTATAAATAGGTTATAGAATATTCTAATTATCTATGCATGTTTGCAAATGTACATAAATTGTTGTATAATGTCAAATTCTTTTTAACTTAACTAGCGTGAAGACTGCATCAGTATGAAGTATAGATGTTAGCAGAAACTGATTTTCTGCTTCTGCCTTACTTGAAATGTATCCACTATTTTGTCCCGAGCTACTTTTACTTAGGTGGTCATCTTCCTGTGCCATGACATCTGAACTGTATGTTATATTCTGAAGTTTCAGTTGTTTCCTGTGTAATAACCAAAACTGTATTAATCCTGTGTCCTAAACAATGGTTTTGCATCCACTATGTACCAAAGCTGTATCATTTAGCAGTGAAATCTGATACATATCTGAGTTTGTCTTTAACATATTGTTTATGTTGAACTGCTTTAAGAGTAAACTTTTCCATTTTTATATTTTACAAAGTTTCACTGTCAGTCATTTAACCTCTTTATATTTATAGTATGAGGCTTTGTATTTATTTGATCTCATGCTGGTGGATGCATGTCTGAGCCACATTTATTCATGAACACTTACACATTTCTGAACATTTATAGTCTTTGTCTCCTTTTCTACTTGGACTAGTCCAGTCATTTTAGTTTGTGAAATTCATTTGTAGAATTATTTTCCAATTCAGAATATAATTTTTTATAGCTTTTTCATTATCTATATATTACCTTTGTATAACATTTTAATATCACATTGTGGTCAGTTGGAAACTCTCAATTCCTTTTTTCTGGTGTGTGTGGTTTATTTCTTTCATCTATTTAAATCTAATTTCTTCCTTTTTTGTGTCTTTTATTATACGAACTGTTTCTGGGATAATGAAGGGGTTCCTTACCGTATTTGGCCCCTGTGCTCGGCATATCCTCGTCCATGAGCTCATCAGCAGTGTTGACTCTATTGAATTTCTGTCAGGCAGAGTTTTAAACGCCCTACAGTCGACGTCTGCACGCGCCACAGGACCCACAGCTCACATGTACACTCAGTGTGTGCATGTCCGGACGGTGCCAGTTTCTCTTACTTTTAAACAAAGTTGTATTACACATTTTACCGTCATTCATCCCTAACTACACAGGTGGTCAGAATGAGCTCCCAGATCACGTGTGTCGGGTGGGTTAAACGTGGCGTTTCCAAGGAAACCCCGGACAAAGTAAGTAACGGCAGCAGCTAGCTGACGTTAGCCGACCGGCTGCTAATCTGTCAACATGGTTTCTCACATCACGTTGAACCTCATCCCGCCGTCGTATAAGCCTGTTTTGTTGCATGTTACGTGTCATGACGCCGTCGTAATAAAGTTGCCTGTAGCGTTTGCTAATCTTTATGTCAAAACATTTAAACATCGCGAGTAAATTGATGCCAGAAAGAAGGAAAAGTTCCATTTAAATGAGGTTAACTGAAGGGTTATGGGAACGTTGCAGCATATGGAAATAACACTTCCCTGATTAAAGCCATTCCACGGGATTCATTGAATAATCTCAAGTCAAAAGTCCATCTGCTATGATACTCATAGTTGGTGTGATTTAATTCCTACAGGTGGAGTTGAGCCAAGAGGAGCTCCAGCGTATCATAACAGAGGCAAGGGAAGAGATTGGGTATGATATGTTACAGTGATAAATCTTTTGTACCATTTATTAAATTGGAGGTGCATGTTAAATTTAATTGTCCAGAAGTGCAAAGGTTCCATTTTCTTTGTAAAACTCCCTGACTGATGCCTTTTTAAACTGCGTTCAGTGACTTGGCAGCTGAAGACGAAGAGGAGGATGATGATGAAATGCCTCCTGAACAGAATCCTAGCAGCGAAGCACCTGAAGTATCTGAAACTCCAAATAACGAGAACGATGATGGCGAGGAGGAAGACGATGACCTGGCGGAGTATGGTCTGGATAAATATGATGAAGAGGATTTAGGTCAGAGATTGAGTCTGTTATTGAATTTTTTTTAATTATTGTCAGTCAAATTAAACTCGCATGGTCTGTGTAAAACTGACTGTGTCGGTCTGACCCCCAATTCAGAAACGGCTAACCTTGGTGACAGTCTGGCTGGACTCACAGTATTCAGCAGTAACCAGGAGGATCCTTATGTCACCCTCAAAGATACAGTGAGTATCCTCCAGAATTAGGTGCTCACATTTACGCTGGTTTTATTTCAGGTAGAAGCTCAAATCTGACAGATACTTTTATACCCTCTATAGGACCAGTATGAGAGGGAAGACTTCCAAATCAAACCCACTGACAACCTCATTCTGGCAGGAAAAGCCGAGAAAGACTGCTGTAATTTAGAGGTCTTTGGTAAATATCTTCATATATGAGACAACGTAGAGATGACTTGATAATTATTTATTCAATTATCTTTATTTTTTTCTGACTCAAAAGTGAAGTTATGCTAATTTACTAATTAATTGTGACTGAGAGTCCTTTGCAAATGCATTGCTAATTGTTTTGTGTTGTGAAAAAACAGATGAACTCATTTATTTCTTGCTTTGCAGTTTACAACTCTGAGGAGGACTCTATGTATGTCCATCATGATATTCTGCTGCCCGCTTATCCACTGTGTATGGAGTGGCTCGACTTTGACCCGAACCCAGGAGAGGGAGCAGGTGAGGAAGCCTCAGCTCACTGCTCACCTGCTCCTAATATTCTACCGTCTCCCTCATGTGCATGCGCCTCCGTTTATTTTGTGTTTTAATAAAGAAAAAACTCAGTGTTGTCCTGTGTGTGTTTTAACTGCAGCTAACTACGTGGCCGTGGGAAATATGACTCCTCAGATAGATGTGTGGGATCTGGATGTGGTGGACTGTTTAGAGCCTGTTTTCTCCCTGGGGAGCAAAAAAGCTGCCAAGAAAAAAAAGAAGAGCAAGAAGGTACACGACTGTCTCATAATGTTTTTGTCATCTGTCCAGTGTGGTCAACGGAATGGAATTATATGAATTTTTCCTACCTGTTTTAAGCATTCTTTTTCTAAACTATTTTTTAAACAGTCTTTAATAAACTTTGTTGTTTTATCCCCTCTGCTGATATCAGGGTGCTGCAGCAGAGCCTGTTGAAGGCCACACTGATGCCGTGTTGGATCTGTCCTGGAACAAGCTCGTTAGGTCAGTTTTGTGTAAAAAAAAAAAAAAAAAAAAGTATTTTATTTGATTAAAACCTGTCTCATACCATGTGCATTTTTTATGAACTTTTCCATTCTTTATAAGCAGATGTATCCTTTACACTAACAGAAATACTCTTTTTTTTTTAGGACTGTGTTGGCCTCTGGATCTGCAGATAACAGTGTCATTTTGTGGGATTTGTCTCAGTGCAAGCCAGCCACAACTCTGCGCAGACACACTGATAAGGTATCGGGCAACTTAGAAAGCTAATTTATTGTCATTCGTACACAATATTGTCAGAATCTCAAGACTTTGCTTTGTATGAAATAGAAATAATTTGTTTTTCAGGTCCAAACGTTAACATTCCATCCTTTTGAAGCACAAACTTTGATAACCGGATCGTACGACAAGTATGCATCGTCCAATGTGCAAGAAAACAAAGTTTTACATTGAAAAGGGCTTAAAACTCCTTCTTTTTCCTTTTTGTTTTTAGGACGGCTGTGCTCTACGACTGCCGTAATCCAGACAGCAGCCATCGGACCTGGAGGTTCAGTGGCCAAGTGGAGCGTCTCGTGTGGAATCACTTTGCTCCCTGCAATTTCCTCGTGAGTCCTGAAATATTTAAAATGGAGTCCACATTCCCATTTATCAGATTTATTTTGTTTTGAGGGTCTACCATCTGAGGCATTGCCTCTCTGTAATGACCTCATCCAGCTGTCATTAGGTGAGAGGGCACACCCGGAAAACTAAAGCCACTCTTCAAGAAGTTTTCTTCTGGCTGCATACTGAAGATACCCACTCACCACAGGGGTTTTATTTCCACATATCCTGTTCAATAATGAACAATAGTCACACATAAGCGTCCATGCCCAGCCACACTGACAGCTCATTATTTTTAAATAATAGGTTGTAATCTAAGTAAAGTGTCATTAAATCCATCTGAATGTGTGATTATTAAGCCACAGACTTTGCTCATCTCTCTCTGTTATTCCTTCCAGAGGCTCTGTGGTTGACTCTGCCCTGTGTTATGTGTTCCAGGCCAGCACAGAGGACGGCTTTGTTTACTGTCTGGATGCACGTTCAGATAAGCCAGTGTTCACGCTCAGGGCGCACGATGAAGAAGTTTCCGGTTGGTGGAAGACTTTTCTACATGTTGTATGTGCTGAGTCTATCTGGGTGAAGCTCTTGTCCAGATGTGTTAGCTCGGTGTGACGCTGCTGAGCGCTCAGCTAGCACACTATGGTCAGGATTCTTAGTCATGTGTTGTTGTTTTTTTTATTCCTGCAGGCTTGGACCTCAGCAGCCAGATCAAAGGATGCCTTGTCACGTCGTCAGCTGACAAACATGTTAAGATTTGGGATATTTTAGGCAACAAACCCAACCTGGTACACTCTCGAGACATGAAAATGGTGAGAAGTTACAGTAACATCATACATCCCCACATCTGAATGGTTGAAATGTGTCATTGGTGTGTTTGAAGGTCCTTGATAATACATTTCTTGATTTCTGAACAGGGAGTGCTATTCTGTGCCTCGTGTTGCCCTGACCTGCCTTTCGTCTATGCCTTTGGGGGACAGAGGGATGGCTTAAGGGTTTGGGATATAAGTGACGTTGCAGCAGGTACAGTAAATAGTAAACTGTATTAGTTTGTATGAAAGTTTAATTTCTTAGTTTTGATCATACTTCTTCAAATTGATTGTCACAGTCTAGCGAACATATTACTTTTTCTGTTTTTACTCGATGATGGATAGCAACACACTTCATCCGCGAAATTGCTTATTAAATCTTTAATAATGCAATTGTGACCGTCTGTTTTTAGTGGCTGAGGTATTCGGCAGTCGGGAGCGCTTGGTGGCGAATGCAGGATCGCAGGCATCCAGCAGCACAGCCGCACCTGACATGGAGGTCTCATAGTGATCCATGGGGGGGGGGGAACGGCCCCAGCTCTAAACATGAATAAACTGAACATCAGTGGTAACTCATTGTGCCTCCCTGCTGTGCCAAAGACTGGTTCACAGAAGGACTGGATTAGATGAAACCACACTCCCTCTTTGGACAGGCTGACTAATTTACTTGCAAACTAGTGTTAAAGACTTGTTAAGAAAAGGAAAGGCAGCAAATGTTTATACATACATTTTTCCTTTGGCCAGAGGCAGTGATTCAGATGTTTGCATTACGTTGTGGAAATGCTTCTATTACCTTCATATCAATATCAGCTGTATGTGACAGTTGTAGAATACCAATAAGATTATTTTCACATAAAGTATGACGTGCTGATTTATCTTTTGACATTTCCTGTGTGGATTTAATGTATTAATTAAAGATGAAACAAAAATGTCATTGATGTTCTGTTCACGTGTAAATTCAAAAAATACAAATTGTCTGTCAAATGTATATGCATTGGTTTTTGATGACCATTTGAGACTAAACTTTTTCCATTTTGAGACTAAACTTTTTCCATTCCACCTCTCAAGGTAAACTTTTTTTGACGTTAATCAAATTTTGGGCCTATTCTGTGGAATGCTGCCACTCTATTTTGTGCACTTAAATAGTCTTCTTTAAGACATAAAAAACACTATAATGAGAGGATAAATAGGGAAACAGCTGGTTTCTAAACACATTTCATATCTTAAAAACATATTTTACCCTTTACCTAAAACAAAATTGGGTATATGTAGACGTCAGAGTCAATGTTCATCCGTGTTTTTAAATAAAGTGAATTGTCAATGAAAAGATTAATTTGCTTACTTATTTAATTTAATTTATTTTCATACTGCTTTGTTAAAGTCGCACTTGAGATGGAACGATGGTTTGCCTTAAGGACGCCGAGACGGAACTATTTTACTGTTGCACACAAATAATACTAAGCATGGCGGCAGGTCATTTATGCAAGTTACACGGTTTATTAATGCGATTTTCTTGTGCAGCTCCATTTCGATATACTCAAAGTAGGTACCTGGTTGTATTTTTTATTTAACATAGAAACGTATAATGGTGTCGTATCTGTTTTATCGGTCTTAAAAAAAATCCCTTACGGCATTTAAAGCTAACGTTGGCTAACCTTGAAAATTTGTAGAAAATAGTGTTACATTTTCCTTAACATATTTGTGAAGCATACTTCATTCTTTTTGTTTTAGCATGCGTAGTGATTAACTGTCAGGAAATGTGTCCGCTTCTCTTAATCATGTTTGCAAACAGCAGTTTTAATGGAACCAACATGGGACGTTAAGGAAAGGTTCCACTTCAATGATCTTCAGAATTAAGTCACTATACACTATAAATGATGTGCTGTTTTTCCCTAACAGCGTGTTTGGTGCCACTTCGACAGAAGTCAAGTGTCGATGCTCCTTCAATTCAGGGTCCTAACCGGTAGGTCAGCTTGGAGAAGAAAATACATAATATCCATAAGACTCAGTTTAGATGCATCTCAAATCTAACTTGTTGACATTTTCGAAGTTACCACAGGTTTTTAAGAGGTAATAAAAATTAGAACATGTTGAAGGTGTGAGCCCAGATTGCTGCTTTGCCTCACTTTTGAGTCAGTGTAAAATCGATTTCTCTAAATTGTGAAGAAACTTGCTTTGTTGGTATTTGTTAATATGGGAATCTAGACACTAACCCCCCAAATCTTCTGGATTTAGTGATGTGGAGATTGGAGTGACTTCAGATGGGAAAACCATAGTGTGTTACCATCCTGCAGTCGACGTTCCTTATGAGCTCACTCAGGTAAGACTTTGTGTCTTAATTAGTGTGTAATAAGTGTGGTTCCTCCTCTAATGAGCCTTAGAGAAATTGAGTACAAGTTATGGAAACTTTTGCATGTTTGAATAAATATATTTTAAAGTTGTAATGTTGTTAAATGAAACCTTTTCAGCCTATTGAACGACCAGACCCCCTGACCAACCCAGTGGAGACCCATGATCAGATTTTAAAGGCCCACCTAAGCAAGGAGGTTCTAAGGGACAAAGAGGGACCCACTATAGAGGAGCTTAGCAAGATGTTTTTCACTACTAAACACCGGTTTTACCCAATAGGACAGTAAGTGCATAGATAACACTCATTTGCCACATATTTGATTACAAATTTATATTAGTTAAAAAATTGTAAATACTTATTCTTTATGTCTACCGATTGATTGTGATGAATTTTTCTGTTTATTATTCGCAGATATCACAGGAGACGCATCAAAAAGAACCCCCCAAAGGACAGATAGTTCAAGGTGTATCTAGAAAAGATTTTTCCCATCTCACAGGATGGTAAACAATTGAATTTTGAGTCTGTTGTTTTGTTTTGTTTTTCCTGCTAAAGTAAGATCATTACCCACCTTTTTTCCAGTAAAAAATCTGTTTATCATTATAAATGCTGCCACAAATAAATATGTAAATGAAAGGAAGTTTCTCCTGTCAGATTGTTTTATTTGTTTATGGTTACTTGACTAAAACTTGTTTTTGTGTCTTTTAAAAGAAATGTTTGAGCTGTTATTCCTATATGATGGAAGTGAACCACTTTCCATAGCAGCATAACAAAGTCAATAACAGCAAGGTTATTGTGTTTGAGATTTTTGTTTAATATTTAAGTCTCTTTTCTCTGTTTAATATTACAGTGAAAAAAGATGGACATTTTTACATAGATTAAAAAAACAGCACACCTTTTAATTCGGTTTTTCCATCTGAGTGAATTATTTTTACACACAAAGTTCTTTAATAACAAAAAAAAATTTCAATTCTATATCGCAATGCAAAGGATACACAAGGCGAAAAGCATTTCCAAGGATATAACATTTGAACACTTAAATATCTGTTTTTTTATGGTTCGGCAGCAATTGCAATACATTTATTAGTGATTGTTTTTTCAAGCTTTTTAAAATAAAACTAACTTTTTTTGCGGTAGATAAGATTTATACATACAATGTTACAAAAAATACTCATGTATCCACAGTCTCACGTCGACAGCAGTAAGTGTCGCAAACATACTTCTTTACGTCATCTGAAGCCACCGGAAGAGTGAGTTATCCTTCCCCGCCCCGGCTGTTCAGTCAATCCAACCTGAAGAGAAGGCGAGTCAACGGCTAAAAATATAATTGCTAGCACAAGATGGCCGGTTTGCCTCGTAGGATTATAAAGGTACACCTGCTATAGGACAGTGTAAATACATGTAAACAATCTCGTGTGTATATGATGTTCAGTGATATTATGAGTTTAAGACTTCAACCATTTCGATTGAAGCTTGACGTTAGCGAGCTAGCATAGTTAGCTCCTGTCTAGCTAGTTATCAAGCTAGCTCGCTTGACTGAGTGTTTTGTTTGCCACTTCCGTCTACACCCTTCGGCTCTGTTTGTGGTACATTATGCGTTGTATATGACCTACTGTGTACATTTATTTAAAGTTTTTGGATGGATGTAGTTGGATCTTCTTGCATAAATCACCTAATTCCTCCAGTTTGTCCCCATTGCCATATGAATGGATTCCTTATTTGTGCTATGCTAGCGGTTGTAGCATTGCTGTTTCGTACACATGTCTAGCGGTTTCATGAACCCTTATCTATGTGTTTCGGAAACGTAGAAATGCTTTTAGAGCGATAAACTCGTTAGTTTCGTTTTTTGGATGAGCTGAAGCCGTGGAAAAAGGCCATAGCGATAAGCCTGTTGCGCAGCGGCTTCCGTGCCCCGTCGCAGCGCAGCCTCCCTGGGCCTGGCCCGGCAGTGGGCGCGATCAGCCTTTTCCGCCACATCAACCCTCAGGTTAGACAGGTTTCTCACAGCCAGAGACTGAATGCCTTCAAATTGAAAGCACGGCCGAGCACCTAATCTTCAAGTTTAGCTTTTATTCTCCTCGCATCAGATAAGATCCCCTATTCAAATCTAGACGTAACCAGTTTCTCTTTCTGCAGATGTTTGTGCACCTGCTTCTTTTCGTGCAGGGATATGAAAAAAGCTCCACTTCCTCGTTTTGACTTGCACTGTCAGTCCTCCCTTACTGATAAAACCAAAATCTTATTTTTAAGCCCACATTTAGTAACTCATGTTTTAGTTTCCTCAAAATGTGGTAAGAAGATATTTTATTGTTGCCAATTCATGTTCTGACAATATTCTACAAATGCTACATTATTTACCAAAGCGAATACTATTTAAAGTTTATGTGCTTGAATTTAGGGTAGAACAACATACATAATGTATAGGCTTTACACACATACAATAATTGAAACCGACAGTGATCAATTTGCATAGATATTCAAATGTTGTCTGTTCACCTCAGTACAGCTGATAGAAATCATCACAAATTATACGTTTCCATAGCTTGTGCCCACTTTGTTTGCTTTGGAATACTCCTTTAAAATCCATGTAATGTGGATATACGGCATTTAATGCTGCGTATCCACAGGGTGCCTCGACTTTTAACATCAAGGTGCTCAAAAATTGGGACAACTGCATTTGGATGAGCAGCTGTTACAGACAATGTCACAGGTTTAGTTGCAAACAAAAAGGCCCCGCTGAGGGCGATTTTTGGTTTGAAGCCAAATAAGAAGGGAGGTGTTCACAAGTCGTCTAAAATTAGAAGAAGACATTTAAATAAGTGATTACACATGTTTGTTCGATTCGTTTTCAGTGCAAATTTTGTGAGGAGTCAATCTAGCTGACGGGCTCATAGGGTTCTGTGAAAATATGCCTGCATTCTGCCAATTTTGCCACCATTCAGTTAAAAAAACCCACTAGACATGTGATTTGTCAGGACATACAGATGGGAATGCCTTCTTAAATGATCCGTATCCCCGAAACGACCAGCTAAGCGCTGCTGGAAGCTGTGCACGTTTGTGCCTCAGCCACCTGTTTCTTTTCTCCTTTCTTTCTTTTTTTCCGTTGTTGCACGGCGGCTGGTGGAATGTTGTCGTTCCAGTATGTGAACAACACGTGTGACTAACTGGGGCAAAATCTCAGAAAAGACCTTTAAAGGCCGCAGGAGTAGTTCCTGCGGCTGTGCTCAGAAACGGGAACAGCAGCTCACGCGTTTTTCTCCCTCTGACCACACTCAGGAGACACAGCGGTTGATGGCAGAGCCCGTTCCAGGGATCACAGCTACGCCTGATGAAGGGAACGCACGCTACTTCCACGTGGTCATCGCGGGGCCTCAAGACTCTCCCTTTGAGGGGGGCACATTTAAACTTGAACTATTTCTTCCAGAAGAGTATCCCATGGCAGCTCCCAAAGTGCGATTCATGACCAAAATCTATCACCCCAACGTCGACAAACTGGGAAGAATATGTTTAGACATTTTGAAAGGTAAGAACACGAGCATCACATTTACCTGTAACCTGTTTCTGGTGTGGAGCCACACCCACTGTGGAGGGCAGAGGCAATAGTAGTTTTGAAAAAGTATTAATAAAACAGCACAGACTCAAATCCAAATCTTCATAATCTGTCCGTTCATGAGACATGGAAGTAGACTGGAAGGAGCTGAATAGCCAGTATTTTATACTATTAAGAGAACTGAAGAAGTGAAACAGTTATCTAACCGGATAATGATGCAGGGTGTTCCTTTTTGGGGGGTTGGAGATACTTTATCTTAATACAGTACAGAAACGCTTTAGTTTTAATGTTAATTAATCCCCCCCAAAACATCTGCAACAGCTTTACTCAGAAAATGATGCTCAGTTTGTAGTTTGATTGTAATAACTTACCAGCTTTTACATTTGTTTTTACCTACATTGGACATATGACGCAAATCGGTGCTTTAAATGCGCCACAGACAGAATCACCAGCTCACTTCTTCTCTGCCAGAATGTGTCTGCCTGTTAGAAGTTACAATAAGGCAGAACTGTCTGGAAACACAGTGGATTCAGAACCATCAAGTCCTGTTTGGAGGTAAAGGTCATGGTTAGAAAGAACCGCAGAGACACTGACGAACAGCATGAGGATGATAATGCAGCCGTCTGTTGTCTCCACATCCAGTCAGGTTTTCCTCTCTCTGCCATGACCACCTCCCCTTTTCTGACACGAGGCTGCTGGGCTGCCATCAGAGGATTTAAAAAAAAGGTGTTTTCTACCTATAACCTCATTTTTGTTTCTCTTTTCCATCTTCTCCTGGGTTCCGACAGACAAGTGGTCTCCAGCCCTGCAGATCCGCACAGTGTTGCTATCTATCCAGGCGTTATTAAGTGCTCCCAACCCAGATGATCCCCTGGCAAATGACGTCGCAGAGCAGTGGAAGAAGAACGAAAGCCATGCCATTGAGACAGGTGAGGACTGGAGGTGTTATTCTCTTTGTCTCATCACGCCATCCGTCCTCGTCTCCACAAGTCTCTGCAGATCTCCAGAATGATTCAGTGCTCTGGCAGATGGCAGCAAACATTTGTTCAGCTCCAAACCTCTGAAATCCCACCCACATTTCAAATGATCCAAAGGTTTGTTGTCGCTGTACCAGTGGCATTTTTTCCCCTTTTTTTGGCTGCAGAGGAATAACAGCTGAGGAATAATGACCCAGCAGAGAGCCTTACTGGAGCGATAGCTTTGGCAGGGTTGTTTTAGTTTAGCCCAAACATGAAAGTTAGATAAACATCAGAATGGCAAAGCCTTTCCACAGCAGCATTCCTATTTCACAAACCTCTGGAAAAATGTCCCCCAGGTTTCTTTCTGTCGCTTTCGGTGTGTGGGCTTTTGTTGTTTGAGGCTCGGTGGTGTCTCAGGAGTTTGTTGAATCATTCCAGTGTGTTTTAGCGTCCTCTGGCTCAGCACAACTCTCCTGTGTGTTTCCTCCCCAGCCCGAACATGGACCAGGCTCTACGCGAGCAACACTGAAGTATAGAGGCAGAAAGAAGAGGCGTCTGAATGTGATCCACAAAATGTACTCCTATTCTGTCAACATTTGAATTTAATGGACACAAAAAAGAAAAAAAAATATTCTAAGTCCAAATCTGTTTGAAAGAAATGACAAGATATACTGCTGCAGACCTCTGGGTGACTTATTTTCCTCTCTAAGACGCGTTAAATGTGTGTTAGCCTTTTAATTTTTCTTCTTTTTTTTTGTCTTCCTGTGTTGCTATTTAAATGCATGGACAGAGAACAACACCCTCCCCATTACAGTCTTAAAATCACATGCTATAAGTTATCATGAGCTGGGAACATACTGGTACGTTTGCAAGAAAAACTCATCCATTAAAGCTGTCCTTCTTTTAACACATGCATTATTTGTCCAAACATCTATATGTCTTTTTGAGAGACGGCCTGTCGTGTAATTGCAGCACAGCGTGTACACTCGTCCCCCCCAAAAAGCAAACGATAGGATTTCCTTTGGCCCCGTGGGGATTTTGGGAAAGTTGAGGCTTATGAGCGGGTAACACCATCCTGAACTGAGTAGATTCAGCAGGTTCAGCTTCAGGATCCTCCCAGCAGCACCCAGGGCACTTAAAACAGAACTCTGGGGTGTTCGTCACCCAACAGAGACCTATAAGAAAGAGAATAAACCGAAACAAATCCGCTTAGAAGCACCAGCTTAAACTGTTCCGTAGTCTCAAATCAACCAACTTTCTTGTGATGAGATAAAAAATTGAATCAAAAGGGAGAAACAGCCTTTTCATAATTGGACAAAAGTTGGTTCATGAGGACATTCTTGCTCTAAAATTGATACGTAAATGTCTGTAATGCATGTCCAAATTGGCCTGTTAGGGACACAAACCCACAGGATGATGTCATATTGTGACCACACTCAGTTAAACCTGTAACGCAGATTTTAGAGCAGAGAGGACGAGCAGGGGTCAGCTTTGACCCGTCATCTTTTGGGCCGACTTCCATGTGAAGAAGCCAGCAGATGGCAGCTTGCCATACTCTCACTGTATGGTCCAGATGCCATTTTTGTTTAATTTTTTTTTTACCATCCTGGTCAGTGAGTGTAGGGACCGTTGGGGCAGGGTGTGAGGAGCACTTCCACATGCTTAAAGACACTCCCAACACATTCATCCTGCTTTAGGAGTGCTGGAAGGCGGCGTTTGGGCTTTTTAACTGTCTGTCCATGCTGTTTCTGTTGCCTGTCGCCTTCTCATTGTTATGTCCGTCGTCAAAAATAAGGTCCAGAACCAAACCGATTCCAAGACAGTTCAAACTCTTTGTGACGGGTGTTTGTTTTTTAAGGGAAAGTTTTTTGTCCTCACTTCTAAAGTCGTTTTTCCTGATTTGGAAGATACTTTTGCTGTTTCTCTGACAGTGATGTGATGATTATGCAAGTACATTTAATTGATTCCAGAGGGGGAAATTAGTTCACTGTGCGAGCAAGGAAAGATGGTGTTACAAATAAAAGATTCAAAGTTTAAGATCCGACTGGGCATAAATGGATTTTGTATCGGCCGGGTTGAACTCAAGGACGCGTTTAGTCGATGTGTGGAAACAGACTTCTAAAAACCCTTCAAATTTCCCTTTGAAAGATACTAAACTGGTGGGATTTCAGGTTGGATCACAAATCAAAAGGCGACATTCTGCATCTAACGGAGGATTTCACACATCATGATGTCTAATAATGTAATCTTTTTTTTGTTTTTGCTTTTTAGCCTTATTTTTTTTGCTCTTTCTTGGAGTATCGCTGGCTCTGTGTTGCTCAGAATTGTTTGCGTCGCGTCCCGGCCTAGAAATAACTGTTCCAAAGTGCTGCATTTACCCAAGTCTGAAAAATGGAGCACGGCATTAGAACCTGGTTAGTTGACCTGAGGGGACTGGACGGGAACTTAAACGGTTAAGTCACTGGATTTCTGAAGCGAACGCGTCGAAACATTTAGAGATCAAACTGATTGTCAGCTCCCCAAGTGTTTAAAGAAAGAAAAAAAGAAAAAAAAAGAAGCAGCTATGTCGAAATTGCAATACGTTTGCATACATGATTCTCCCAACACTCTGTAAATAAACTGAGTTGAGTAAGTAAGAGGAGTCTCCTCTGTTTTATGGTGTGTGGATGTGTGTTTCCAAAAGCGAAAGGTCACAGTTAAGATGAGTTTTTTTACACGGGTTTCCGCCTCTGGTATGTGTCACTAGAATTTGCTCTCAGGTTTTTATGGAGAGCAGCGACAGCTGATCTGCTTGGAGGAGGAGGTGACATTTACCAGCAGTGACTCCCAAAAAAGGGGCCTCCATGCTGTCTTGTTTTTCTCTTTAGCTCCAATCAGTCAATTATTAAGTGACCTGCTCAGAAATACTCAGCATGGGGAAATAAGCGTGCGTCTGGCTGGTAGCAGAGGAGTAGCTCGTCATGTGACCACACGGTGCATTCTGAGTCACACACTGACAAAATGATTCATTCAGAGGGGAACACACCCGAATCCAAGCCGAGTGGTGCTTTATGGAGCTGACAAAGGAGTGGATAAGGCTTTTATATGAGCAACATCTTGACACACAGGAGAATCCGCCCCTCCGGTCAAGACTCAGCAACTCACCTGCATTCCCAGGAGAGGAGGTTGAGTCTAAAGAGCTGAATCAGAAGGGAACTGAAGACGCCTTGTATTATAACACTCCCATCGATAGAGCCTAAAAATGTATTTTTTTAAATGGAAGGAGTTGTGAATGTTGTTTTTTACCATGTTATATCACATGAAATAGTAGAAAGATATAAACAAGCAAAAATAACACATCACTGAAGCCAAAGAAGATTAAATACTTTAGCTTTGATTTAGTTTTATAATGATTATAAGAATTTCTGCTGTTGGATTAATTGTGTGAAAGCCGAGATTAAGACTTTTCCATTTCTAATAAGGCTGTTCACTTATAAATGTGGTAAATTCAGGTATCAGGATGAATGGAGAGGGTTGGATTTAACAGTAGAGGAGCAGTAGTGGAGCAGACCTCTAGTGTTGCTGCTATTTCACATTTACTAATTGATCCGTTTTAAAGTCATGTTTCATAAGACTTAGGAGCTGAGGATTGTTTATCTAACTGATGCAGAGGAAATGCATCCAAAAAACAATCCTTTCATGTTCTTTGCTAGATTGTTCACAAGGTGGCACTAAAAGCAAAGGCCCTTGTAAAATAAGAATAAAAAACAACTTATTCTTTATGAGAGCTGTAAAACATAGAGGTTTGTACTATTTGTTTTTTTTTTCCCAGGAGGCGTCCTAGTGGCCGCTGATTTTTGTTTCCTTATCACTAAAAAGAAGGGGGGAAAAGTTGGAGATTGTTTTATGATCATGGCTGGATTTATATGGCGTTCAGGCTGATATGCAGCCATTCTTTGAGTGGAAGTGCAGGAAGCAATTCCCCTCACGATCAGCAATATCTGACCAAACATTAACCAGTCTGAGAGGCTGCTGTCTCCTAACAGGCTTTGATGTTGGACAGGTCCACCTCAGAGCTGCAAAGTGATACAAGGAGGTCAGGTAAGTCATTGACACAGCTAAAAAAAGACCTGACGTGAGTCTCTTTTAAACATAAAAAAACCCAAACATTTCAGTGTTCTTACTGCTTCTTTCTTTATGTAATTTTTCTTTATTTATTAGATGTATTCCGAATGAGAACAGGGTCCAACTTAGAATCTGCAACAAGGCTGTCCATGTCAGGTCTGGAAAAGCTGACTGTCCAACTGAAAACAATGAAAGAATGCAGGTTATACGTAACGTTGGACTAAGATTTTCTAGTAACTCTCTCTGGGATAGAACACTTGCAAAACACTTGCTCCAACTTGCACCTTGCCTTGGAGAACTTCTAAAATGAATTGGTTTTTAATAAAGACATGGTGAAATACGAGATGAAAACTTTGCATTCTCAGTGGAGGTGTTAAACGGAAAAATACTTCTGCATTCTCCCACAGAGACTATATGAACACTCAGACCTAGAATATGAACCACAAAAGACTACGGCACTGAAAATCAATCGCATATCCTCACAGGAGCCATTTTACAAGCCTAGAACAATGCAATTTACCCATTTAGGTGGATGACAATGGCGGGCTGCAGCCGTACGGGGGCTGCTGCCCGGAGCCTAAACTTAGCCCGGGATCATCTCTCGCCTGGCTGCTGACGGTAAGTGAAACATCTCTGTCAGTTGACAGGTGAGAACAGACAACCTGTTTTTACTGCTGTGTGTCATAGGAAGTTTTTGGAAACGAGGTGGTGATTTTGGGAATGCGGGCCAGTTTTTGGAAAGGAGAACTTGCCTGTTTTTCCTCATTTCTTAGTACGCCACCTTTCAATCTATTTTCTCCTGTTTTTCCAGCCCCTCTCTCCTCTTCCCTCTTTTCCAGTTTCACTCCCATGTATTTTTCTTCTCTCTGTTCTTTCTTTCCCCCCTCTAATCCCCCCTATTACGCCCCTCTTACCCTCCTCATCTCCTCCCGCTCTGTCCCACTGCAGA